TGATAATAGCTGATAAGCTTAACCTAAAAAATCATCCACGTTATGTCATTCATTACACTGTGAATACGATTTTGAAATCTTTACGTATATATATATATATAATAAAAATAGAACTAACCATTGTCTGTACATCTTATTAATATTATAAACGCGAAAGTTTATAAGTACGGACAGATAATTATTACCCTTTCACGCAAAAACTGAACGGATTTTGATGAAACTGTACAGTAATATAGCTTATACATCAGAATAACATACAGGCTATAAATATGACGCGGGTGAAACCGAGGGCACAGCTAGTGGATAATAACAATAACAGGTAGCATGGGCGTACCCAGTTTTTACTGGATGACAATGGAATGATGCACCCGCCTGCGCTAACGGTTTACGCTGGCGGGGCACCAGTGGAGGATGATAAGATAAACATGAGGTCAGGTTAGTCAGCCCATTGTGAGAAATTGATCAAGAAATTTATGACGATGGTTTCCAGGGGGAACCGCATGAAGGTCAACCTGACATGGTACATTGCTAGTAATGGGTTCATTAGTCCCATTTCCCCCCGGGCGTACCCAGTATCAGTCCAGGGACAAGTCCGAATTTTGTAGGCCAAGTTCTCCACGCATTATTTCTTCTGTAACCCTGAAACGCCGCTGGGTAGGTAGAGTATTATTCTTATGTACATATAAGCTAAGCTATATTATTGTAAGTTTCATTAAAATCCATTCAATAGTTTTTGCGTTTTGTTTTCGGACTACTCTAATGCTGTTGTCCGCATCTGGCCTTTACAGACTATAGGGGGCGAGTGCAGATGGCACTCGAAACCAAAGGAAGGACTTACGGAGCGGCTGAAGGCTAACTCCCGCCCGAAGGATACGACTTATTATGATGGCACCACTAGGGGTTTCCTGGAACCTCGGCGCAGGCCGTCTTAATTTCGACCCCCGTTTGTTTTAGACGAGGGATCGATCGGAGGGGAGGTTTTGCGTAAAAGAGTGAAAAAGAGACAAACATCCATCCCTCCACACTCACAAACTTCCGCGTTTATAATATTAATAGAATGTTAAAAAATTTTGTCATGTCCATAGACGTAGTGAAATCAGAGGCACCCATCCAGATGACTGTACAAAGTGCGGTATGCCTACAAATATTTAATCTGTACCAGGAACACAATTAAAACGAGTTTTATCATTAGTATACTTACATATCATTATCATTAATTAGAGTTTCAATGTTTTCTGCTTACATCACTAGCTTTAAGACTTGTAAATAATTTTGGGACACAATTTTTTTTTCTATTTGTGAAAATGAATAATGTATTTAATGTAACAATTTTTATAATTATATTGCATGCTAAATGGTTTATTAAGGCCAAGCAAGAAAGACTATTAAATGTTTTTATATACTAGCTGTACACGCGACTTCGTCCGCATGGAATTTAACTTTATTTTTCTAAAATAAAAGTAGCCTATGTTACTCCTTATTACATCAACTACCTGCCAATAAAAGTCCCGTCAAAATCGGTCCAACCATTTCAGAGGTTGGCCGGAACAAACAGACAGACAGACAAAAATTATAAAAAATGTTATTTTGGTGTATGTACCTTATTTATATTGATATGCATGTAATATTACAAACACACTCCAATTTTATTTATATATATAGATGATACGGTAACGGTATACGCTAGCGGGGCACCAGTGGATGATGATAAGAAGAACATGAGGTGAAGTCGGTGAGCCCATCGTGGCAAATTCACTAGGAATTACTAGGAATATGATTCGGTAAACAGCTGGTCGGTTAGAAAGTGGTACATTTTAGAATGTTATCACTCTCAGGGCATACTCCAATTTTTGTTTATTCCACAATTTAAGATATCTATGTGACCATGACCACTGAACTATATTGAATTATAGATAAAATGTAACATAGAAAAAAACAGAACATATTTCTGGTAAGAGTTAAATGTGTTGAAATTTATTTAAATGTGATTACATGTGTTGTATGAAAAAGATTACAGAAATGGACCAAGGATGTCTTAGGTTGGTATCCAAGAGAACAGAAAAGAAAATGAGGGTGACCGAAAAAGAGGTGGAAGGATGACATAAGGGCAGTGGATGGACCAACATGGAGAAGGAAAGCGTTGAACAGAGGAACATGGAGTCTTGTAAATGAACATAGAGTCTTGTAAATGAACATGGAGTCTTGTAAATGAACATGGAGTCTTGTAAATGAACATGGAGTCTTGTAAATGAACATGGAGTCTTTTGGAGGAGGCCTCTGTCTTAGGACAAGCTGATGTACCTAGGCAGAGTAATAATAAATAAACAAAACCAACACTAACTTTACTAAGGCTATAAATAAATAAAACATGTGTTGTGGTTGTATGTAAAAATGTTATAACACAGTTATTTATAACATACTGTCAGAAATAATACTACAATATTACCATATCGTTATTAGCATCATCATTTTAACCTTTTCCATTAGTAATAATGAGATAGAATCATAAATTATGTGGTTGACTTTATACAAAGTGAATACTCACAGCCTTAATTATTTCAGGCACCAAGCTGCTTGCTTTAATAATAATAATCATCTGAATTCACACAACGCCATCTAGACACAAGTTAAGCTAACTAAAGCTTGTATTATGGAGACTAGACAATTGATACAAATACGTAGATTTTTTTTTTTAAATATATACATATTATACATAGAAAATACTAAGACTGATACAAACAATCATACTCATGAATACAAATTTTTGTAACTGATGAGAAATTGAATCCAGGACCATCGGAAGTAAGGCAGTGTGCTAAGCCGTTAGACCACAGAGGTCATCACAATTTGTATGATAGGTTTCAGTCAAAGGTTTTTTTTCTATGCTGCATATTAGAAATCTGTTTATTTTTAAATAATAGTGTAATGTATGTAGCTGATGTATCTTAAATGTAAAAGCTTATATCCCATTCAAGTGATGAGGCTGGTCCAATAATGAGATAGGGCAGTGGAAATATATAGTCAGAGGAATGATATCATAATCATTCTGAATGGTAATGCATGAGTGGTCCTATGTCACATGATAACATGATGTCCATAGTGTTGATCATGTACCTAAGTAGTTACCATTTACAAGGCTATCAGTTGGTTTACTCTGAATGGTAATGCATGAGTGGTCCTATGTCACATGATAACATGATGTCCATAGTGTTGATCATGTACCTAAGTAGTTACCATTTACAAGGCTATCAGTTGGTTTACTCTGAATGGTAATGCATGAGTGGTCCTATGTCACATGATAACATGATGTCCATAGTGTTGATCATGTACCTAAGTAGTTACCATTTACAAGGTTATCAGTTGGTTTACTCTGAATGGTAATACATGAGTGGTCCTATGTCACATGATAACATGACGTCCATAGTGTAGATTATGTAAATAAGTACAGTCTGCCGTACTTCATGGTTAAAAAACATCAGGCAGTGGTTTGGTTTCAGCACCAGGTCCCTTTTCAGGACCGCCGTGGACTTAGTAAAGATTGCCATAATAACAGCCTCCGATAGGAGATGGCACCTAAAGAAAGAGAGACCATTTACCTGTAGTTGGTTTATCATTCCAATTACAAGATCATGATACTGGCAACACTAGTAATAGTTATTAGAACACTTCTGTTCTATTTTACCATTGGTCTAAAACAATATGTTCAAATTTGAATTCAAAATATCTTTATTCATGTAGATTTGACATATAAGAGTCTGTAATAGACCTACTATTGCAGATACTATTACAGACTCTTATATATATATGACGAATAAGGATTCAACCGCATAAAGATAACCTTGTATTTCCATTTTGAACCCCTTACAACCCTTTTTTCGCATTAAAAAGTAGCCTATGTCCATCCTCGGCGTCTAGACTATCTGCGTACTAAATTTCATTTAAATCGGTTCAGTAGTTTTGGCGTGAAAGCGAGACAGACAGACAGACAGACAGAGTTACTTTCGCATTTATAATATTATAAGGATTAATATATTTTTTTTTTATCTTTATGTATATTGTATTAGTATCTGTATTTTGGACATTATATTTTTATGTTTAGTTTTAATTATTTTGACATTTTCATAAAAAATATAATTTGCACATTTTAACCCACTCAACACTTCCTATGCCACGCTCTATTGGGTTGACTGGAAGAGATCTCTTTTAGAGATAAGTCCTCCTTTGTTAACATTAGCTGTAATTAATTTACTTATAAATGTATTTAAGTGCAATAAAGAATATTTATATATTGTGAAATCTCCATGATAAAGATATTTTGAATTTGAATTTGAACCATCAGTTCGGAATGATTCAAGATGAGAACTGACAAGTAACTCAGCTTTTATTCTTTTCAAATAGATGTTGTACATGTTTATATGTATGTACATAAATATTACACAACATTATTTATGTATGCATTGTGCAATAATTTACTTATTCTCATTATACATTATAACATAGTTTACATACAGTTATATGATTTTTTGTATGTTCAAGTAGTATAAAAGGAGCACATTTCTTGGCATGCATGCATATAGTAGCATATGTTTCTTTTATCTATGGTTATTTAAAAAAGCACATGTTTAAAACACAAAGTCATAAAATCCAGTTAAAGTGACATCCGATAAGCAAATAATACTATTTTCAGGTTATCTAATGTCCTTATGAGAATTAAACCTGAATCGAATACCACTGTATAATTCTGTAGCTTTTATAATTACTGTAAAAAAGGTGCTTACACAGTTTTATGCAATAAGTATTTTATTCCAAGTAAATATAATGTCCAAAATGGTTCGACTTTGCTCGTTAACTGTATTGCCGAATATTGAAAATGTGGTTGTAATACCCTATTCACATCTTTATTAATATATATCATTATTATACATGATTTCCATATTCATATTTGTACAACAACAATACACATGTATTTAAGAGCCCATTGTTTACATGTTAACACTTACCTGCCAAGGATTGACTTTCGGTATTGGTGCCTCCACAAACTTCTTTGGCTGGGCATCTTCAGATTGTTGCTGCTGTTCGGCACTGGGCTGAGGCTCGGATTGAGGCTGCGGCGTCTTGTGGGGCCGTGGGGGAGCTCGCCTCTCCCGGTCTCTCCTCCCTTTCCCAGGACGGCGCCCGTGCGATATGACCGGCACGAAGCCCTCCTCCTCCTCGTCATCATGCCTCGGTGGCGCGTCCGCCACCTCCTCTGACGACTCAATGTTTTCTTTATTGCTATCACCACCTCTAAAATTTAGCACCGACGCGTAAGAGGGACCGGCCCCCTCGGACGATACGCGAGCGGCCATGCCGTCACCACCTCGTTATGTAAGCGGGGCGCGCGCTCCGCGCCGACGGTCACGAGCGCGCGACCATGCTCCTCAGCACGGCATCGTGCCGACCTAACCCAAGTAATGGAGATTGACACACGGACGCGCACCAAGCCAAAGCCGAGCGAATGTAGATCGACTGTCACGAAGAACTGTCGCTATTTAACGTGGAACGAAAGAAAATATAGGAACACCACTCGGAGCACACCGGACTGACCCTGGCAAAACCGTATTTACATCAAAAAAAATCACTTCCGTCGGACAATTCCAACTCTTTTTGCACACTGGATGCTCCCTATGCACTGTATCTATCGATCTAGTATACAATACACTTTGAAATCGGACTTCCGGAATAGAAAATCACTAAAGAACTATATTTTGTTCACTATTCTCACATGTGGTCGGACGCCCAAAAAGGGATTTTTCCGCAACACACACGGAACTTGCAAAGGCTGTGACTTCTAAATTTACACGGCGGACATTTTGTCACTAGAGGGCGCTGTAACATCATTGACAGCAGGTGCGTTCAAATAAGTCAATAGGTATACAGTGAATATTAATTTACACATTGCAGTTTGCATAATAGAAATACACTCTACAAGTAAACCGTATAAAGAGTAATTATATAACACAATATGAACTTACAATACTCCTCCTTTACAAAATTACAATTATTGCAAAAAAATTTAATTCGCATGAATGCTATCATAGCCAAAAATCACATTCATTCTTCAAACTGAAACGTTTACGAATCTTGTTAGCGATAATCCTGAATTGCGCAATAATAGAAAAACAGAAATTACCCGTTTTCCTATGTGACCTATATTTACTTTTGTATTATATCCGGCAAAAATATTAAGACCAAAATAAGAATAAAAAGAAATATTCCAAAATAAAGTACAATATCAGCTACCAATATTTTTTTAAGGAAATATTCGTAATATTTTTTCTCTGTTCTAAATGAAATTGTAAATAAATGCCTTCAATTAAACTTGAAAATGTTTGATATTTCTTCCTTATATTTTTACCAAGAATTCATTCATTCCTAATCCACGCCTTTGTCGGTGGAACTTTTGCAGGAAATAACATATAATCAAGGTACGGTAGTGCCCCCTACAAGTCAATAAATTGTGCGTTTATGTAACTTTCATTAGTACTCAAATCGTAATTTCAGCTCGTTTACTACATAAACTTCTTGACAAAAACATTAAAAGTGTAGGAATTCTTATTTCATTTATATATCTATTTAGAACATATTGAAATAATATAAATGGCTCTAAATAATAATTAATGGAAAATACTATTTGTGATGAAAATATTTATTATTCCATTTACATACATTCAGGATTAGTTGGGCAATACATACCCAAGAAATTTCTACAATTTCTGCATTAGTGGGACACATTTTTACATGATCTCAAAATATACGGTAAAGGTGCGCAGATCCAACAACACAATAAACATAAAATTATTGCACAAAAATGCGTACATAATGTTATTTTAGTTGTTACTACAGTCATCCCTGTGTAACCGCAGACAGGGCACAGCGCTGGCATGGGTGTGAAGCCAAAGTGATGGACTCTAGGAGCTGGGATGGGAATAGTATCTAAAAAAATATCAAAAGAAGCGGCGTAATGCGGTGGAGGTGTATGGTGAACGAAAGAAGAAGAAGGTATGAATGTGCTAATGATTCTTGGCCGTCTTCTAATTGTCATTTGTCTTAATACAAAAGAATACGAGGGCGGAGCGCTACATAGTGAATCTGGTGGTGATAATTCAGGTGATTTGGAATTATCTTCAATCACCCTTTGATTTGTTGATAAATCTATCTCATTAGTAGTTTTTCTGTTGTCTAACTTTAGGACAGAAACATTTGTAGAACTTTCGTTTAATTTTGATAATGCCTGTAAAAATAAAGACTGTGGTTGGCCGGGTTTTAAAATAATTTCCATAGGCGAAGATAAATTCGTCATAAGACAAGGTTGATTAGTTATAACCGAAGAATTATTACAGAAAACAAAGGAGAGAGGTGCGGCTAATGTATTTGTACTATTTTGTAGTTGATTTACGTGTGGTGATAATGATGATGAGATACTGAACGATTTCGGGGTTTCTAAATTAATACATTCTGCAGCTTTCTCATCATTTGAGTTAGGAATAATTTCTGTTGATTTCTCTGAATCTTGATTATCTTGTGATATAGTTTGTATATTTACATCTTCATCATGGCTACACATAGGAGCTCCTTTATTATTCATTTTATTTGATTCATTTTATTCATGCGGTAAAAATTAAATAATTAAAAAATGAAATAATTAATTATTACAATTGTCAAATATGTCAGTGAAAATATATGTATTGTCATTACTTAGCTTGGTTTCCATTCATGACCGCAGATAACTTTAGGATTATCTCATGTATTATTGACTAATTAGGCATTGTATAGAATGTCTTTGCCGATTTATTATTTAAAAAGAATGTTTATAAAGTCTACACACATGTATCTCTAACTGAAATTTCTATAATTACATTAAATTTATTATGAAGACAATAATTAAACAATTACACAAAAAAGTATACAATATATATAAATTTATATTACTACTAAAAGCCTCGAATTTTAATAAATAGAATATTGTTAATAATTTAATTTCACATATCCGCATATTATTTTATATGGCAACTGTCCTTTAGCGCTGTCACATTTTTCCGAAACGTTTCCGGTCTTTTTACTCCTCCGTGGCATGGCGGATTGTCTTTACCGCCGCTAATAGTGTTTTTTTGGAGGATAACATTCGCTAATATAGCGAAATGGTAAGTTCATATCGAGAAGATATATTTAATTCCTATAAATATTGTGAAAAATACGAAATATCTTATGTGTTGGTCCTCACTTTAATCCGTAGAAGTTTGGCGTAATGCCCCACGTGTTTGGTAATAAAATCGTGAAATATCAACAATTATCATTAATAATTATTTTTTAATGCTATATTATTTCAATGTAGTGTTCATTTGCTTATTAAGTACAATTTATACAGTGTAATAACAGTACTTTGTACTGCAAGTACTATGAACATGGTTCTACGAATCATACTCCTACATCCTGAATCTATTGAACATTTTAAAGGGTTATTCTTGAATATTCGAATAATATATTGTTTGTGACAGTCATTGTGATTATAATATGTTTATTTAGTCACCTAAAACTTTATTTGTGATTCGAATCACAAAATATTTTCAGGTTAGTTTTGTCTAATTGTTATTCAATTCTTTGTTAGTTCGACATGTACTTATATATTAAATACTGAGTACTATTATCTATTTATTTCATTAATTATCAATTAGAATGTAGGTACCCCTAACTCTTCCTGGTTACTCCATCCATGGGCCTTCAGGTACAGAAAGGGGTAAATTATAGTTCCCATTGGAAACATTGTATAGTTGTTCTAACTTACATTGTGTCGACTTGTGGAACACATTTGACTACTTAATCATCAGTGTATATATATATACTTATAATTTTTCTGATAGACATAACCTTAGTGTAGTTGGCTGCATAATTTCATTTTCACAATGTGCTATCTATTGTTATTTTCTTTCTGTGAGAGGAACAATGAAGAGTTTTTAATTTAATTTAATTTCTGATTAGTAAGTACAGTTTACTATAATCCCAAATATATAATTAATTCTGTTTCAGAGTCTGTCTGTAGCCCGACCGCTCGTGTCGGTGTACTCTGAGAAGAGTGAGGTGGTAGCTGGGGCGTCGCTCTCTCTGCCCTTCGTCTTCAAGGCGCCCATCCGCCCTGACATCGTCAATGATGTCCACATTTCATTGTCTAAGAATGCGCGCCAACCCTACTGTGTCAGCAAGGAGGCAGGTGAGTCATATACTCGTGTTTCATCACATTGAACCATGAATTAATTAAAGCAGTAATAAAAATCTTTTTAGGAGACTTTTTATTAATAGTAAAAGAATAATGGTGTGCTAATTATTTACACATTGAACCAGTGGAGAATAACAATAAGTCAAGTGAAGAATTCACTAGAAATTAGACTGATTCAAGAGGAAGGTTTATATTTATATTACACTAGCTGATCCTGTAGTTGGTGTCACCACATGAAATTTATAGCTTATATGTTATTCTGATTTCTAATTTTATAATAATATATATAGGTTATACATGTATTATTAAAAATGTCATCAAAATCAGTTCAGTAGTTTTTTTGTGAAAGAGTAAGAAACATCCATCCATACTTACAAACTTTTCCGTTTATAGTATTAATTAAAAGGATGTATATCCCTACAAAGCCTGGCAGGGGTAGTTAGTAATCTTAAAATAATCTTTTAAATAGATGTTTTTTTATATAAATAAGTACAGTGTAACAAGTAAGAGGCATGTGATAATCAACATAGAAATCGCTATGCACTCATTATTAGTGTAATCAGATAATATTGTCAGTGCTATGTATTTAAAATTTTTCTACAAAAACATTATTATCGTTAACGAATTCTTCAATTTTATAGTAAGCTTTTTTGCAAAGGAAGTGTTTTATTTGACATTTAAATCTTTTTTCTGGCAGATTTATAACAGACTCTGGTATTTTATTGTAAAACCTTACGCAATTGAAACTTAGTGTTCCTTATAATCATTGTAAAGAAATTCCTTTACCATTGAATCTATATTAATGTATAAGAATCTGAGTTCTTGCACTAAATGTCCACATACAGATAGCCTGTCATGCTCCTGTGTGTTACTGCGGATTAGTGCTACAGTGACGTAATCATATGGCGTTCCGGGCCTTCTCCATAGTCGGTACGGGTGCATTGTGGCTACTACAAGTAATAATAGGTCTTTAATCAACCAGCCTGGACATATCTTGTCTGGTTGACTAAACACCTTTAGATTAAGAGGTAATACAGTCAGCAGAGATAAATTTTTTTTTTTTTTTTTTTTTTTTTTTTTCTCTCTATCTGCGATCAGCCCTTCCGGCTATAATCAGATTTTTTGAAGTTATTGGCTTTTTGAGATGAGGCCCCTCCAGTAAGGTGCCATCTCATTTACTTTCTTTAGATGTTGGCAAGGCGAGCTCTTTTTAATCTAGATGGACAGTTATTTATATCCAGTAGTTTTGAAGCTAACTGGTTCTTATGGCCGGCTAATCTGTGTTTATATCTTCCACAGGCTTTCTGTATCTCTTCTTTTACAGTTGGAATTTCTAGATGTGTATGTAGTTCAATGTTTTTTATGAACCAAGGAGCTCTGGCTATGGTTTTTAATGCCTTGTTTTGGAAGCGCTGAAGAATTTCTATGTTAGAGTGTGAAGCTGATCCCCATAGTTCCATTGCATATGTCCACACTGGTTTTATGATGCTCTTATAGATGAGGAGTTTGTTTTCCAGACTTAATTTAGACTGTCTACCTATCAGCCAGTACATGTCTTTAAGTTTTCTATCAGCTTGGTTTTTTTTTGCTTTTATGTGGTCTCTCCAAGTAAGTCTTCTGTCCAGATGCATTCCGAGATATTTTACCACCGTTTGTTGTGGCAAAATAGTTCCATCTAAGGATACTGGTGTGCAATTTCCTCTTTTCAGTGAGAATGTGATATGGACCGACTTTGTGGTGCTCACTTGAATTCTCCACTTATTCAACCATTCTTTAATTCCATTCAGATGTTTCTGAAGCTCTGTAGATGCAATATGTGGGTCTTTATTACATGACAGCACTGCTGTGTCGTCTGCATATGTTGCTGTAACTATACCATTAGTAGTGGGAAGGTCAGCAGTATATATTGTGTACAATACTGGGCCAAGGACAGAACCCTGTGGCACTCCGGCTTTTATTTCAAAATAATCTGATAGGTGATCTTCATACTTAACATGAAATATCCTATGTTGTATATAGGACTTTAAGAGCATATAAATGGTGTTGAAGTATGTTGTGAAGTATGAGTCCTATAGTTTCAATGGTAATAAAAAGGTGCACACGCTAACGGTTTACGCTGGTGGGGCACCAGTAGAAGACGATAAGATGATCATGATGTCCATTAGTTAGCCGAGAAATTTATCATGATGGTTGGAGGTCAATCTAACATTGTACATTGTAATCATCAAATATGTGTGATATAATTTACATATAGATTCTTATTGACACGCAAGACGCCAGCAGTGTGCGCTAGAGACGACGTAAGGCTTCCTTCTCTTTCCCACATTATTATATTAATTTTGAAAACTAAACAACGTCCATTTGTTATCAGGTCACCAAACCAGTGCCGAGTCCTGGGGTACCGGCCGTGCTGTAGCCCGTATACCTCGTGTACGCGGTGGTGGTACCCACAGGTATGTGTTAAGCTATTTATGATTAAGGTGATGATCTTGGCTGTCAAGTTGTTTAGCTCACCACTTTACTTTTGATAGTCATGGGTTCAATCCTACGATGATTCAATTCCTCACATGGTACAAACATTTGTATGGATGACTATGATGATTTGTATCGGTCTGGGTCTTTTCTATGTATATTGTGAATGTATTTACAGAAAAATATATCTATGTTTTTATGTCAGTCGTTTAGTAGCCGTAACAAAAGCTCTACTTTACTTGAGACAAGATGGCGCTGTGACAATTCTCCAGAGATTATTATAAGTAACATGTACAACATGATGCTCGTAGTCGACAGGGATCTCCCCAAACATATGAAAAAAATTCTATAACAAGAATCTGTGCCCTTTATACCAACTCGCAGCTGTGATAAGGACAAAATATGACAGTTTTTGGATTGTTCATATTATTGTTAAATTTTTATGAAATAATTATAATTATATGCTAAAAAATATGCTATATGTTAAACAACGTAAAACTATGCCAAATCTAGCATAATTAATTACAGCAGACCAGTCCCTACAAGCAGCAGGTTGCTACTGAAACCTTGAGACTCTTGAGTATTATGGTTAGGAATGATACTTTGAAGTTATAGGCTAATAGTAGAGTTGTGCCAGGTCCGGACAGGGTGCGTTCGGTAACATGTGCCGTGGAGGCCGCATGTTCGCGCCCACGAAGCCCTGGCGCCGCTGGCACCGCCGCGTCAACCTCCGCCTGCGACGAGCCGCCATCGCAGCCGCGGTGGCCGCCGCTGGCGTCCCCGCCCTCGTCCAGGCCAGAGGTACCGTCCACCGTTCATTCTCCATTGCTTTTACACATCAAATATAAGCACACTGGTAACATTATTTATTTTTTCATGTAATTAGAATGACATAGGTGGCAACCGTCCCATATATTTTAAGTTTTTGTATTTTATGTTGGGCTAAAAAGGACTTGTATCCAGTAAAATATTAAATAAATAAAAAAAAATAAAAATACATGAAGAGCGTCATGGACTATAGCCTTTAAACCTACGTTAGTCATGTATGTTTTAGCGCCAATTTGTCATTGCAAAATGGCATTTGACTGATAAATAAAAATATAATAATTCTCTCTTATCTACTAAGAGAGAATTATTATATTTTTATTTATTTAAGAATAGAATAGAATAGAATAGAAAATCATTTATTCAAATAAACTTAATTTAAGCACAACGAGCAAGAAACTTGTGTGTTGCTCTTTTAAATAATCCTTGTAAGTTTACATTTACAAGTCGAAACGTGTGAATACAAACTACCAACAAGCACTAATTTTTGGGTCAAATATAAATATGCAATAAGATTAAATCAGTCGTAGTGATAAGATTAAGTTCTATTTTGTGTTATGGGCATTAAGTTGTCTAATGCCCATAACACAAAATAGAATATAATTTCTTTAACTCATTTTACACAATAATGACATAAGAAATATAATCAACAATTTACTCATTAAAAAACAGAGTCAATGTGGATCACAACTCAGCATAATGCTGGAGACATAGTTTCCAGAGCTGATTTTAGTCCAGTTTTAAATATTCTATAACATAGTGTTTAAATATCTACTCTCTAACAACATTACTTGTAACAGGTCACATAATTGACAAGGTGCCAGAAGTGCCACTGGTGGTCTCCGACAAAGTGCAAGAGATCAACAAGACCAAGCAGGCGGTGATCTTCCTCAGGCGCATCAAGGCCTGGTCTGATGTGCTCAAGGTAAGCATATTTCTATATAACATAAGATGGCCTTGTGATCTAGCAGTTTAGCACATCTCTTTCCGATGGATTGATTCCTCGTATGATACCAATATTTGTATGTATCAGTATATGTGTTTTCTTTTTTTAGAATATTAATTTATGTAATTTATGTCAAGTATACTCAGTCGTCCCATATTCTATTCACATTCAAGATCCTCTTGTTTATGATTCTAAATGGGACGAGATGATATTCCATAACCAACAAACGGATTGGAACACTTTCTTTTCTGTCATAGACAATGGAATACATATATATAGAATAGCAGAGAGGGTGGACTCACGGCACCCTCTGGGTTATATATAGACCGTTTTGTCTCGATTTGTCCTTTGTCTCGATTTTGTCCTCTAAATTTTGTTATAAACCAAAGATGTTATGGATATGAAATTTCGGATATGGATAGGTTTCGGATATAGGAATGATTATCCGTTAGTTACGGATAATATTTTATTAAGGAATTTCAAAAGTAAAATACAAATAGCTAATAAAATGGTTATATTACATAACGTGTCTCAATTAGGCTCCGACCCTATCCGATATTGACCGAAACTTTTATTTCTGATTCGGTTACGGTTACGGATATTTTTTTACATCGGATATCCGATACAATCGATTGCGTTTATGGATCTCCTTAACATCCCTGTTATAAACAACAATTGTAATGGGGTAAGGGACCGTTTGGACATATGTAAAATGCATATGCCAATAGATATTGGAAGGAATTTTCTTGTTTTCACATCATCTTATTTCCAAATTACGCATGATTCCTCGCTCAGTACAAATATTGGTATTCATGACTGTATTGATCTGGGTGTTTTGTGTTATGTATGTATGTAGAAAAGACCCAGACAAACAAACATACTGATTGTTTGTATCGGTCTGTGTCGTTTCTATGTATCTATATATTTATATCTGATGTTTAGTACCCATAAACACAAGCTCTGCTTAGCTTGACCCTAGATGGCGCTGTGTGAATTATCCTGAGATAGTATTCTTATTATAATTTTTTGTACAGGTATACAAGTCGCAACGTCTGCGCGCCGGCAAGGGTAAAATGCGTAACCGCAGACGCATCCAACGCAAGGGACCTCTGATCATCTACAATAAAGATCAGGTAAGTTCCATCAAATATTGAACTACAGAAAAAAATATTGAGGGGTTTGGGGTATTACCAGGTGCTTCAACCTGAATGAAATTTGACCAGCTGTCTCACTATCTTGGTCAAATATATCACGCCTTTTTTCGACACACGTCGAAATTTGTAAGCTGCCAAACTCCTCAAAATAAAAACAGTTACATCACCTTTGACATGCAGTTTTAAGAAGGCAGTGGAATTACAAGATAACATGTAAGACGTCGTAAGCACCAAACTCCTCAAAATAAAAACAGTTTCATCACCTTTGACATGCAGTTTTAAAAAGGCAGTGGAATTACAAGATAACATGTAAGACGTCGTAAGCTCCAAACTCCTCAAAATAAAAAAAAGTCCATCACCTTTGACATACAGTTTTGAGAAGGCAGGGAAATTACAAGATAAGCTGCAAGACATCCAAAGTTTTCAAAATAAAAACAGAATTTGACATGAGTTTTAATAACAGCGGAATTTAATGATAACGTGATGATCGTAGTTCTGGTCATGTATATAGGCGACGGTTACAGCTTACCATCAGGTGTTTGTCATTCCGAATAATAAAAAAATCTCCCCGGAAAGCCTTACTGATATTGTTCTATGCAATGTTAGTTACGATAATCGGGGGTATATTGACTTTCCCAAAGGAAACATTAGCAGCAGCTGTAAGCTGGCTAGTGTGTCGACATGAGGAACACAATTATTCCATAAATTTAGTGGCATCTGGTTTCAGTATATAATTTTATATAAGCATTAAAGTATGAAAGTTAACGATAAACTTTAACATATAATTAATTTATTGGTTTACCATACAAAAATTTATGGGGTATTGCAAATATGTAACATCTGTATGTGTGAAAGAGAAGGAAGCTTATGTTGTCTCTATCGCACACTGCTGGCGTCGTGCATCCATTAAGCTGTGAACGGCTGAGAACTGTAGTGTGTGTCTTTAGGAAGACAAACAGTACAACATTACAATAGGGGGAAGGGGGAAGGGAAAATTTCGTAAATTAGACTGGCTGCAACAAAGACGGGGCCAAAAATTAATTAAATTAATATAACGTAATTTATTGATGGCTCTATAGTATTAATTCTTAATTTCCAGGGCTTGTCGCGTGCCTTCCGCAATATTCCCGGTGTGGAAATGCTGCATGTCAACAAGCTAAACCTGCTTAAACTGGCTCCTGGAGGCCACATTGGCCGCTTCATCATCTGGACCCAATCTGCTTTCAACAAGCTCGGTGAGTTCATTACTCCCATGTCACCTTCATAACTACTTAACACAATCAGGATCGCCGTCAGTTTGTCTGAAAAAAAATAATCCCCAGATAGCCTTACTCTTTTTGTTCATTACAATTGGAGTTACGATAATCCGGGGTATATTGACTTTCCCAAAGGAAACATTAGCAACAACTATAAGCTGGCTAGTGTGTCGACATGAGGAACACAATTAACTCCATAAAGGATCTTTTAAAGCCTGTATAAACAATATAATGGGTACTCGATGTGTAGGGTCAAACAAACCTTATTGGTGCTGGAAGTGAATTCAAATTTGTCTTTAAGGTGGTGCTGTCTAAACACCAACTTTGCATCCAACAAGCCTCCCAACTTTCGCTCAGTGTGTTGGTAATATAATAATACCACTAAGCTGCTAATTAAATTACTGAATAACTTAATTCACGCGGACTCTGGAGACTGCTGACTGCTGTATCAGACAACACATGATCAATCTGATTATGATAGGACCTGGTCTTCCTCCGGAAGTGAATGGATGGACCATTCACTTTCGTTCTCACTCCTGATTATCTTTTTAATAAGCACTTTAATTTCAGATGCCCTATTCGGCTCATGGAAGACCCCATCAAAATTAAAGAAGAACTTCAACCTTCCTCAGCCCAAGATGGCCAACACTGACCTCAGCCGCCTGCTGAAGTCGGACGAGATCAGAAAGGTGCTCCGCGCTCCCAAGTACGTACAGAGAATGATAATAAGACTGCTAAAAATATGTAAAATATGAGTACATATGTAATGCAATAATGTTTGTATTAAACACTTTATTGGTCCAAAAAATCTAATTGTTACTGGACCAGAATTTTAAATAACTTTTCCAAGTGTCTAGCCCCTATATTTATTAAATTAGTTTATTAAAACAGGTTAATTAACAATTCTTCATCAAAATTTATATAAATATTCTAGTTATATCCCGCGCCAGTGACCGAATTGAACACTACTAGTATTTAAATTCAAATTGAAAAATCATTTATTCATGTAGGGCATTTTTACCGCGTATGAAATAATTTTTTTTTATATTATAATTTTTTTCATGCCATCCAATTGAGAAGTACTGGCAAGAATCTTAAGTGAATAACTTTTTTCTTTTTTAAAAGCCAGTTTATTTACATATATAACATTACCCTTATATAATATTATTTAATATATATAATATTACACCTCAATAATGTAATTTTTTTATAAATTTATGATTTTTTATATGATGATATACTCTATCAGAGCATTGGGTTATGATTACCATGATTACTCAATCACGTTGACACTTTCTGATCAACATTCCAGCTTCCCAAATGCCACCAAAGTTAACCGTAACTAAATAATACAAATTATTTACAGCAAACGTGTGATCCGTGCTACGAGGAAACTCAACCCGCTGACCAACACTCGCGCTATGTTGAGATTGAACCCGTACTCGGCTGTACTGAGGAGGAAGGCCGTATTGGACCAGGCCAGAATCAACAACCAGAGGGCGTTGGTGTTAGCTGAGAAGCGAGGGGTGAGTATTTGATTCAGGGATGTTAGGGAGCTACGTAACCATAACCGAAACTATCGGCTATCCGATATAAAATAATATTCTTAACCATAACCAAATCCAAAATAAGAGTTTCGGATAATACCGGATAGGGGCAGAGCCGAATTGAGACACGTTATGTAACCAAATTATTAGCTATTTGTATTTTCCTTTTGAATATCCATAACTGAAATTAACGGATAATCCGAAATAATTTCACATCTGCATCCGTATCCGTATTCGGTATAATAACCATTACTATATCCGAAACCTATCCGTATCCGAAATTATCCATAACATCCCTGATTTGATTATCAAATATGAGTTTCCAGATGGTGTGTAAGACATTTGTGGCGTGCAACTGTTGACTGTTTTTTGTCTTTATTATGTATCTATATCTAAAGGTGCGATCTATATATAATTGTTATTTAGTTAACTAAACCACCTTCAAATATCACTACATTCCATAAGGTTGGCTGGTAGAGAATGCTCGTAGCATTAAGCCTGCCTATTATACAATTCAATTAAGATTAAACAAATATATAATGTTCAGTAAATCACATAAACAGTTTGTATCCAATTTTACATGATGATATTCTCTAACAGAGCATTGGGTTATGAAATCTATGATTACTCAATCACGTTGACTACTACTGACTACCAATCGCTTACGAAAACAACTAACAAAAGCCGAACATTGCTAATTTCATCGAATTTTCTAGATCAAGCTGCCGGCCAGCGATCCCGCGGTTCGAGCGCAGAAACTCCGTGAATGCAGAGCCAAAGCTAGGAAGGCAGCGGCCGCTAAACGACCCAAGAAGCCAGCGCCGAAGAAAACACCACCGCCGCCCCCCAAAAAGAAGGCAGAGAAGGGCAAGGACGGCAAACCAGCGGCAAAAGTGGCGAAGCCAGTAGCGAAAGTTGCAAAGCCAGCACCCAAAAAGTGATTTGGACTAAATATAAATAAAGTTATATAAAATTATATTGATGTTTATTTTTGACTAATGATTCCTCCATTCCTGTGAATAGGGTGTAAATATGAATTGGTATAGTACAATAAGTATAATCTTAAGTTGTTATTTCAGAATGTAGTTTAAACCGTGAACTGATAAATATAATTGGAATAAAAAGTGAGGTAACTGAAGTGAACTCAATCTCATTAGATTGACTTCGCCTTAGGTGGTCGCCCATTCCATTACCATCCTATAGGTTTTAATTAAACCTACTTAAATAATATAAATCCATCAGTAGTAAACCTACCGAGGTTTTTTCGCGAGACTACAGAATGAAGTTTTTCAATAAGGTTTGTTAAGAGTCGGCAACGCGCATGTGTCATCCTTGGTGTCTTAGCCGGCCATGGGCTACGGAATCCACTTACCATCAGATGGGCTGTATGCTTGTTTGTCACCATCGTAGTAAAAAAAAATATCTTCATACTCCACTAACGCCTACGGTTAGCACAGTAGAATGCATTATTCGCCCTGAACAAATTGTCAGTTGTACGAGGTTGGAGAGCCTTGATAGAGAATGTATGTGATTTTTACCTTTGGAAGAGCCAAAAAATTTTAAGATTGGCAACCCTACCAATAACCCAAAGCCGTATAAAACCATATAAAAATAAAAGTGAATCTCATTAATGTCAAAAGAGAAATTATAAAACTCTCATATTCATTTACTTAATTTGCTAAACGATAATCAACTTAGAGGAAGGTTTATTTACAAAAAACTTGTTGGTTACAAACTATTAGAGGTTTAATGTGTATACACAAATGCAAATTGTTTGCATTTAATAATAATAATTGGTAAATTTAAAAATAATTTATGACTGCAATTACCATAGGTGCTTTTTTTGTAGGTATACTATAAATTTGTTATACTATTTTTCTATATTAATATTTCCTATCAAGTGATATTAGTTTCCAAACAACCGGTTGTGCTTTTCACTTTGTGAGTTTTCTATTTACATTATATACATTATATACATATATACACTGTATATAGACTATAGCTTTAACCACGACAGACAAATAAATTACAAAATTTTAAGATGATAGGCTATGTTCGTAACATGTCAAATTTCTTTAAGTTCCGTTCAGCTGTTTATAGTGAAAAGGTAACACAGCGACAGACTTACTGACTTATGATATGGATTGTTATAATGTCAGAGGAAGGCTGAAAAAGAGATGAATGGTCTGTGTAAAAGATGATATGGTAACGGGAGTAAGTAACTAGATGACTGCGAACAGGGATGAATGGAAGAGAAAAACATATGCCGACCAAAAATACATGTGACATGGAAGATGAAGCAGATGATGATGATGAAGGAATACATGTCATGTGCTTATCATACAGAAAAAATTACTCAAATTGGTGCAGTGGTCCCAGAGTTTATAATAAAATCCACTTTCTGTTTATAATATTGGTATAAATATTCAATTAATTGTTCATAAACAGTATAAACAAGCTAATGTGTATAGTTCCTTATCCATGATATAAATAAACAATTGTAATATATATAGTTTCTTTTCAGTCTATACCCAGACATAAAAAATTACATTATACATTAAATTGGTCCACTACGAATTCTGTCATAACAAATAGAAGATGTCTGAAATATCACAGAGCTCTAAAAAGATGATAGTGGTACGGAAAATTGGTGTAAAGATAAAAAAAGAAATGCCTGATGAGAATGAGGTATGTAAACAATATTATCACCATCTTATATATTAGAGATTGATTCTACTAACAACAAAATAGTATGCCTAAGGGAGATGAATAATTTTTATTAAATGCCAACCAGTTTGAATGGCATGCTTCTACGGCATCAATGGAGAATGGTAGTATGAACATGGTTAGGTCTCATATCTATCCTTGCAAATTAACAAGGAATTATCCATGATAGTTTCCAGGGTACTGCAGGGAGGTCAATCTAACATGATACATAGCTAGCAATGGAGCTGGTATATCTCATTACTAACAATCCCCTCCCCTCTGGCAAAAGAAGAGAAATCAAAATTATAGGCTGATGACATGAATGTGGGAAAAGATTGAATGCAGACTGCCAATCTTTGAGGGTCACATAACAAGAAAATGTAAGAATAATGTAATTATTTTAATACTAGCTGTGACATTTATAGCCTGTGTGTTATTATGATGTATAAACTATATATATAATATTTATTTTTGAGGGTTTATATGTAAATTGTGACCTTAAAGAGGGACAAAGTGTGACATTGACAGGGGCTTGGATGGGTCTTAAATTTTGCAGTCACATTTCAAAATGTAATCTATTTAAGTATTAAAGAACTGTTTACGATAACTTCAAAATATTCCCATATTCAATTTAATCTCCCAAATATGACAAGGCTGGGGGGAGGGGTAAAAAAGAACTAATTTCTAGGCAAGAATGTAAAGGAAGTTGCAGTTTTGTTTAAGAATAAAAAGCCACTGGTTCTCTCTGCCTACCCCTCTAAAGAAGTTTGGCTTGAAAATACATATATGTAAAATAACTAGCTGTCCCGGAAACATTGTTTTGCCAAGATTCAAGATTGTTTTGCCATTCAAGATTCAAGATTACCTAAATATACAATATAAATTAAAATCGCTATTAAAAAATAGAGGTTGATGCTAGATGGGTGAAAATTTAGGGTTGTATGTATTTTACAATCCTAAATAATAAAATGAAAATAAAATAATATATTGAAATAAAAAATTTAGGATATGCCTTACCACTTAGTGGTATGAAAAATAGATAGTAGCCGATTCTCAGATCTACTGAATATGCATATAAAATTTTATAAAAATCGGTTAAGCCGTTTCAGAGGAGTAACATTGTGACACGAGAATTTTATATATGTATAAGATAATTTTTCTTTGGTGTTCTTATTATAATTAGATTTTGAGTGTTTATTAGTAAAGTTGTAGGTTCATATTTGGCTGCTAATACAAAAAAACTGAATCAATTTATATTACTAACTGACTAACCATTTTCTTATTTTTACTTTATCTATTCACCCAAAGTTAGTCTGTAAGAAATTGCTTAGTAATAAGACCACCTACTATATGTGTTCATGTATATTTATTATTTTAATTATTTTTTTTGTATATCGTACATAAGATATATAAATAAAAAAATTACAGTCTCTGATCAAATATTATGACAATACCTAGAAACACACACTTTGCATTGTGCAAGGAATCGAAGCCGCGATCATTAGAAGTAAGGTGGTATGTTAATCCGCTAGACCACTGAGGTCGTAATTGTAACACATTACTGGTGTCACATAATAATGTGATCTATATTTTTTATACTATGTAGGTGGCAAACAAGCATACGGCCCATCTGATTCTAAATAGTTACCGTAGCCGATGGACGCCTGAAACAGGGTCGGGTGCACGTTGGCGTCTCTTATGAAACGTTAATATACTTCTTTCTTGAGAAACCCCATGCTGTAGTCTCGTGAGAAAACTAGTAGGTAGTTAGTTCCACAATGTACGCGGGAAGAAGCCTCTCTCTTCTGGACTGTAGTGCTGTTCATGTATATAGGTGAGGGCTACATATTTAACAATTTAAAGACTGCATTGAAAAATCATATTTTTTTGTAGTTAATTACGTTCATTCTTTTTTAAATATGTTTTTTGTGCAGGGATGTTAAGGAGCTCCGTAACTATAACCGAAGCTATCGGGTAACCGATATAAAAAAATATCCGTAACCGAATCCGAAATAAAAGTTTCGGATAATATCGGATAGGGGCGGAGCCAAATTGAGATACTTTATGTAACCATTTTATTAGCTATTTATATTTTTGAAATTCCTTAAAAAAATAATATCCGTAACGAATATTTTCCGGATGATCCGAAAAAAATTTATATCCGCATCCGTATCCGTATCCGGTATAATAATCATTAATGTATCTGAAACCTATCCGTATCCGAAATTTCATATCCATAACATCCCTGTTTTAGTGTACATTATTTTTGAGGTAGACATTATTTAACCCCTAGATTAAAGTAAATTTACTTTCATTGCGGAGTTACCCACCGGTGGGTATGTCGTTTTTAATGTGATAAGTAATTAAAGTAATATTTCTTATCTACATTCCAGGTGGTAGTGCCAATCAAAATGTTTCGGCCGAGTAATAACGAAAGTACAACTGATGGAGAACACCACGACAACAAAAATATTATAAGTGAGTTTTGAACTTTATATCCATTTTTTAGATAACATATATCGGATATCTTTTTAGCAGGATTATTAAGGAGCTCCGTAACCGTAACCGATTGTATCGGATATCCGATATAAAAAATATCCGTAACCGAATCCGAAATAAAAGTTTCGGATAATATCGGATAGGCGGAGCCTAATTGAGACACGTTATGTAACAATTTTATTAGCAATTAGTATTTTACTTTAGAAATTCCTTAAAAAATTGATATACGTAACCGAAATTATCCGAAACTAACGGATAATCCGAAATAATTTCATACCCGCATCCGTATCCGAAATTTCATATCCATAACATCCTTGCTTTTTAGATAACACATTTTCGGAACAATTAAATAGAACTTGGGAAGGCTATAATATAATTCGTGATAAAAATAACACTGCTCACTAACAAAAATAACACTCTCTAAACTATAATTGTGCGAAATTTTAGATTCGTAACAAGTGATAACACTATTTGGACGCTATGTTTTTTTTTTAAGATTGAAATATAATTTTCTTGATTGTTCTTCTCGACTGAAGTAGCTAGTCAAACTGAACGGTGTGGCCGTAACTAGCTATTTAAAAATTCGAAAAATATTCATATAGGATGAATATATTTTTTTTCGGCTGTACTCATATCGGTCAACAACTTATTACTATAGTATCACTAAAAATATTGACTGTGTACAATTTAAAAAATATATTTTAATTTTTTCCATACTTTAATTTACAGAAGAAACAAACAATTCAAACAGTCAGAAGGAACTACTACAACAACAACACATGAAAATTGAATATATAAACAATACAGATAATGATACCGAAGTTGGCATAACTAACAATATAGAACAAGGCATAGATACATCAAAAATAAAGGAAGAAAATCATGAATTTGCTATTGGTTCCTGTAATTCCAGTAATAATGATGACATTGTTAATAATATTTGCGACATTAAAATTAAACAAGAAACAGAAGATAATGAAATGTATGAATTTATAGAGCCTCAAGATGATGGACAGGAATATCAAGATACTGGATCGTTGTACACTGTTGAACTACGAGTTAAAGATGAGCCAATAGACATACCCGTGAATGACTTCAACGCTTCAAATAGTGACGACGAAAGATATCGAGCTAAAACATACAAATGCGGAAGTTGTGATTTCGAATCAACATATAAACAATTTAGACTACATTTAGACGAATGTCCTTCTAGAAAGTCACGAGAAAAGAAAATTTATAAATGCAATCATTGTGGCTTTCAAGCTATACATAAAAAGTACAAGATTCATGTGGAAAATTGTGATGCAGTGAAACTACTTAAGAAGCCTCGCGTTAAAAGACTATATAGATGTAATCAATGCACCTTTGCAGGCACGAAGATGAAATACCAGGAACATATTGAAGAGGAGCACCTGGGCAATCCTGAATGTGAACAAATTACAGATTATAAATTGCATCATTGCAGCAAATGTTCCAACGATTATGTATCGATGAAGAAATATCTAGTGCATCTGTACAAGGAACATAAATTGCAGAGGTTAATGTGTGTGCAATGTAACAAAATATGTGACACATATTCTACACTGAAAACGCATATTGGGCCACATATAAAACAAATGTTTGTTCCAGTAACGGTGATAAATAAGGAGAGTTTTGGTAAATCGGAAAGAAAGTTCCGATGCAAAACCTGTAAGTCCAATGTGAGTGGAGTTGAGAAGCTGTTCTCTCATTGGGAATCACATCTGGTAATACCTGGTGCTTCAACGAGGAATTCAGATGAAGAGCAATAATCATAATGCAATAGTATTATAATTAGAGATGAAACGGATATCCGATAACTATCCGGTATCCGGCCTATTCGGCGGCGTTAATACTATCCGGCCGAATACCGGATAACTACTATTCGGGCGGATAGGTATCAGCACGAATTAAAACAAAATTCTGGGTAAAAAAATATTTTTTTTTAAGTAAATATTTGCTTTATTTAGTTAGTCTTAGTATTACATAAGGAATAAAATTAGTTTTAATTTTAAATTTTTAATCAATCAATAGTAAATGACTGTTATAGAAAAAAAAATATTAGTTAGTTGAGTTCCGCCGGATATCCGGCTATTCGGTCACATGGTTGGCCGAATATCCGGTGTCCGGTATCTGGCCAAACTGCTATCCGTTTCATCTCTAAATTTATTACAAAGTTTGTCTTTGTTATATTTCACACACCAAACAGCTAGCTTTGTAAGCTGTGTTTCCGTTGGATGGTGTGATTAAGAAATGAAAGTCCATTAATATTATTAAAGAGGCCTTTATACCAAGTGTATGTTCGATTTCAGCTATCCAGCATCTTGCTTTGGAAGCTGTTTTGAGTTGAAGGGTGAGATTAGGCAGTGAAATTACAGGTTACGAGACATGACATCTTAGTCCTCCATTATGGCTTGAGTGGTATCACTGTATCACTGGCGTCACATGATAACGTGATGTCCGTAGTATTTATGTATAAGTTCTGGCTGCTCAGAGTTTGCGTTTCTGACAGGTGAGATCTAATGGGCGATATAACTTTGAATTGACGTACAATTTATGGCAAAATTTTTAATGGTTATTTGGTCGCATCACTACAAAAGTAAACAATTGACATAACCTTGAAACAGCGCAGTTTGATGTGGTTTGACTTTTAAAAACTATTGTTTTTATATTTGTTAAATAGTTAATAATTTTAGCTAAAAATCAATGTGTTTTCCTCCATTGTACAACTTATTTTTTTAAGATCGTTGTATCTTTAGTTAATTTAAATGTATTTACTGTACAATAAAGTGTTACAAACAATGTTTATTGTAAGTTGGACTAATTATTAAATTTTTAATAACTCGTTAATAAGGCAAATAAAACATATTTAAAATTTTGCCGTAAATTGTAATATACGTCAGTTCAATGTTACATCACCCATTAGATCCTGACCTGCCAGAGACGCAAACTGAGTGGCCGGACTGTAGATAACGGCTACAGTTTACCGTTCTCCCCTCCAGAGAAACACTTTAAAAACTTTTGAAAAGAAAGAAAAGAAAGACAGAAAATGGTTTATTTGGTACACTGAAATAAATTTTTAAAATTTAATTTACATTTAATATTAATAATTAGAGTACCAACTAGGTCTCCGCTCAGCATATGTCGTGACGGGGTGCCACGACGCTGGTTTTTGCCGTATCGAATGTCGACCGAAGTATATAAATCTATTAATATACACATACAATGAATTAAATAGAATATAACAGAAACAATGAAAAAGGTACCTCTTACTCGTAAATGGTTTTTACCACTTGATGGTGGTGGTAGACCGTTAGATTGTTTGCTACTCTAATTACATTATAAAATGTTTACTGTCTGTTTATTACCGTATGTTGTTTTATGCATGTGATAGTTTTTTTATCATATACCATCTACCTGGCTTCGCATGTTCATGTATTATAAATATAAACCGTCCTCTTGAATCACTCTATTGTTGAAAACTGCACTAAAAGCCGTGGCGTAGTTTAAAAGAAGCGAAGAGACAAAGCAAGCGGCTTCATTTTATACTATACTAGTTATCCACCCCGACTTCGCACGGGTGTACATATATTGTACATATAAACCTTCGTCTTGAATCACTGTATCTATTAAAAAAACCGCTTCAAAATCCGTTGCGTAGTTTTAAAGGTTTAAGTATACATAGGGACGGACCGACAACGACAGCGACTTTGTTTTATAATAATTATAATAATGTATTTATTATCAGGCTTAATTGCCCACTTTGTTAGTAAATGCTAAATTAAGTTAAAATATAAATTAAAATACATTCACATATAAATATATAAAAAAAAATCTGTATAAAAATCACCGCTGTACTATTCCATTAGAAATAGTACAGTAGTGATTAACATACGCACAGTCCAGCCTGCCCGCAATCATGCTCAGGATGCTGTTGGTACTGGCACGTACCCTCCGCACCAGGGATGCGCATCTTTTCCGCATTGTAGCATAAAAACAATCCACACGGTACTCCGCGAACATCCCTGATGCACTGCAGAATCGCGACAGCCCCATCAACACCCTGAATGCGTTGTTATAGTGAACGCGAAGCCCGCTGTAGGATTTTCGGGTGTATGCAGCCCACAGATTGCAAGTGTAACAGGATGTACAAAATGATCTAAACAGAGTGATTTTGACATCTCTAGAGCACCGCGCAAATCTGTGCGCTATCATATTCGCCCTCACCGCCAGCGCTCTCCTTTCTCGTTCAATATCGTCGTCATCTCTGGTCAGAGTTCAATAGATGTCCCAAGTATTTGAATTTATACACCCTTTCCAGCGCTATGCCATTGAGTTTGACTTCGGGAAAAAACTATTATAGTATGTAATGATAAAGATATGTACAATTAACATTATTTACACCTTCAAGGATTTCTTGAATTAATATACAACTAAATTTATATAAACATTCAGGAAAATCTTGTATCAATAGTAGAATTGTATCAAAATTCGTTGGTATACAGCAGTATAGCAATAATCTCAGGACAATTCACACATTGCCATCTAGACCCAAGTTAAGCTAGCTGAAGCTTGTGTTATGGGTACTAGACAACTGATACAATTACATACATATTTTTTTTCGTAAATACATACATAGAAAATACCCAGACCGATACAAACAATCATACTCATGAATACAAATGTTAGTGCCGTGCGAGGAATCGAACCCGCGACCATCGGACGTAAAGCGATGTGCTAGACCGCTAGACCACCGAGGTCGTCGAGTTGAGTAATAGCATGTTATTAAAAAACAGATGTACTGTTTTTATTTATTACTTAATGAATTATTGTTTATGTTAAGGAAGATTAAGAGATATATATATATACATAATGTTTTTTATTTTGTACCTTATGACCAGAGGTAGAATGTAAAAATTTGTATGCGTGGGTACCTGTAGTCTGAAAGCCCTAATAACCTACTCGAACAAATACTCCAATAGACTATTGCTATTGAGTAAAAACAACATATGTATTATGACTAGGGCCCTCACTGGACACTGCCAATTGAATAAATCTATGGCAAATCTGGGCAGGACGCCACTACACATCCGCTGGTTGTAGCCCATTAATACATAAACGAAATATCTCCTTTGGAAAGTATACACTATATCCTGAGGAGATAAAAACCATCGCTCCTAAGAATATCCTTCTATTCTTCTCTCTGAGAGTTGTCTTGTCTAGGTAGCGAACTTTGAAAAACGGCGAGCACAATAGTAGTCGTAGTATCTATGTAGGTCGCTACAGGTCCTACAAACACCTGACAATAACCCAAACAACCCATTTAAAAAAATAATTAAAAAAGCATCTGACAATGAACCAACCACATTGTGGAATCACCTTCCAGCAATGGTATTTCCGAACCGATACGATATTAAAACTTTCAAGAAAAGAGCTTATTCCCTTTTAAAAGGCAGACAACGTACTTGCAATTCCCCTGGTGTTGCGGGCGCTCATGGGCGGCGGTAATCACTTACAATCAGGTGAGCCGAATGATCGTTTGTCCCCTGTGTTAAAAAATGGCCCAAATCCCTCAATAAAAAAAAAGAATCACCTATTTTAGCCGTCAAGCGTCTTGACTATTGTTTGAAAGCGAAACATCTTGGGACATTATATTTTACAATCATAACTTATATAGACTTGTGTTTTTTTACAAACAAATTTTATTTGTGATTCGCTTGTAGGCATTGTCGTAGCTACCTAAGAGCTAGGCAGTGCCCCGGGGCCCTCGAGCTCAGTAACGAAACGAACCCTTACCAGAAAATCTCGATCGAACTAAACTCTTGAAAATTTCTCCCATTTCCAAAATAAATGTGACAGGTTGCAATCCGACTTTAATCATGGGATCTCAGTTGAGAGAAATTCGAAAATTATACCTTCGGAATTACCCTAAATTCTTTCTGTGAGTTGTCAGTGTTGTCAATATGACGGATAGCGATATGTGGGTTTTAATAAAACTGCAATGTAGGGCTCCACTGCTAAGTAGTGGGTCCCCATTTTTTTTATTTGCCCTAGGGCCCTTGGTTACTTAACTACGCCACTGCCTGTAGGGTCAGATTAGGCAGACATTACAGGTTAGGAGGCATGACATCCTCTGAAATGGCAACATATGTGTGGTATAACGGGGGTCACATGATGACGTGATGTCCGTAGTGCTGTTCATGTGTATAGGCGACCGCGGTTTACTAACAGGTTGGCCATTAGTTTGCCATTTCGATTATATCAAAAAGTATAAATAACTAGCTGTACTGTAGTATCACCCACGTGAAACTTAGCGTCATTCTGATGTATAAGCTATATTAGTGTAAAGTTAGCGCAGGCTGGTGCACCATTCCATTCCTTACTAAAACTTCATTCCAATGTAATAAACGCGAAAGTTTGTTAGTATGGACGGATGGATGTTTGTTACTCTTTCATGCAAAAACTAGAGAACAAATTTTGATGTGACTTTATATTATCACATTAATTTATTTAAATTGGGAGAAGTGTAGTGATAAATGTCACAAAAGTGTGCTGTTGAGGAAGTTACGAGGATCAGCTAATCATAAATAAAACGATTTATAAACCTTTTCAACCCTTGCATTTTTTTCATTTGTTTGTTTTTTATATTGTAACATGGTTGAAAAGCACTGAATAAAATATATTTCTTTCTATCAAAGTTTTTAACTTATTTTTTAATTCAAACTTTTTATTAATATTATACATAATATAAATAATAATTATAATCCAACGCGGCACATCGAGGCTGCGTACACAAGATACTGGCAGCGTTGCCTCTTTGAATGGCCATACTTAGCCTTTGGGCAAATTGATGAGTTTATATATATGACAATACAATGTCAAAAATAGTTACAATACAAAATCGTTTTAAAAATACACAAAATGCTTCAACAAACGCAATGTAATGGCTCTATATACAATATTATTTGGACTGAGCATATTTCTTATTGCATTAGTAATAGCAATTATAAAGAAGATGTTTTTTCATTGGCAAGAAGAGCACAAGATCGAACGCATGCAGGTGTCCACAGTCGAACGACCAGGTAAAAAGCTATTTATATAATAACTAGCTACACACCCCGGCTTCCCATGAGTGGATATGTATTATATATATAAGACTTCCTCTTGAATCTATTACTATCCTGAGGAGATAAAACCATCGCTCCTAAGAATATCCTTCAATTCAATCACGGGTGTACATGTATTATACATATCAAACATTCCTCTTTAATCACTCTATATATTGCTGAAAACTACATTAAAATTAAAAAGTATTATAACTGTATTGCATTGTATTAGTATTATATTTGTCCATATTTAACATTAATGTATGACATTATATAATATCAGGTACTATATATATTATTATATGTATGTATTTATTTGCATTTAATATATATTATATAATACTAGCTGTCCCGGCAAACGTTGTTTTGCCATATAAATTAATAACGCTATAAAAAAATAGGGGTTGATGATAGAAGGGTGAAAATTTAGGATTGTATGTATTTTTGTATGTTGTATCATAAAAAAATAGAAACTAAAAATGTTGTCTAAAAAATAAAAAATAAAAATTTAGGGGTGGACTACCCCTAACATTTAGGGGGATGAAAAATAGATGTTGGCCAATTCTCAGACCTACTCAATACGCTCACAAAATTTCATGAGAATCGGTCAAATCGTTTCGGAGGAGATGAGAACGAAAACTGTGACACAAGAATTTTATATATATTATATAATATTTATTAGTAACCCTGTGATTGTTTTTTGACATCACTGCCCCACAACGGTTTCTGTATACCTTAAGGTTAGCTGGTGGAGAATGCCATACGGCATTAAGCTCGCCTTTGTACAAGTTTAAAGAATAAATAAAATTGCGTAGTGTAATGTAAAAATAATAAGCCTAGTATAAATCACACAAAGCCATCTAGTCCCAAGTTAAGCTGAGATGTGTTTTTGACACCTGACAGAAATACTTAAATACATACATATTATACACAAGTAGTAAACATTCAGACCAATACATACAATCATACTCATGAATACAAATGATTGTACTGTGCGAAATACAAAAAAAGAACATACCCTCACGGCTATTATGCCAGATGGGGTAGCTATTGTCAATTGTCGACCTTATGGTGAACGCAACATTTGACATGTTCACATTTCGCTCGGTATATTTTAATATAACGTGGCAGAGAGCGAGCCTACCGCTGTCTCTCGAATTATTGTTAACCCTCTTTGCTCCACCATAGAGTAAAACAGAAATATGAACTTGTACACCTGTTTTTTCTTTCTGAAAAAGAAAGAAAGAAAGAAAGAAAAATATTTTATTCAGTGCAATGTAAAAATACAATATAAACAACAAACGAAAAAAAAGAGCAAATTAAATGTACATATAATTAAACTTAATTTACCATAATTAAAAAATAAACATAAAATAAACATTTTTTACATCCAATAATGCACTGAAATGGCTCCACTCAGCTTTCTGATATAAGACAGTTTTGAATTAAGAACCTGTTGGCTGTTGGGCAAACCCTAAGCCAGGACGCTGTAAGTGTACTTATACACTTTGTACAGAATCATCGCTGTAGGTACCATAGTCGCAACTTCTGCCGCGAAGTTCCTTTGTACCGGTTTGATAGTATCAGATATGGCACTTAACACGTTGAAGACCGCATGCCCAAACCCAACGTGTAAATTTACTTTCGTTTCGGAGTGACGGGTGAGTACCCGTGGGCACTTCAATTTAAATAAATCTAGGTGTTAAATAATGTCTAGGTACCTCAAATTATTGTACACTAAAAACATATATAAAAAATAATATAGGTAATTAACAATAAAAAAAAATGCCGGTCTCTATGTGAGAAATAAGATTTTTCAATGCGATCTTCAACGTGTTAAATTTTAAAATACGAAATTATGATATCCGAGTCCTCCTGACAACACAAACTGAATAGTTGAGACCAGTGGCGTAGCTACCTAGGGCCTAGGCGGGGCAGTGCCCCGGGGCCCTGAAGCTCAGGGGGCCCTTAGCAGAAAATCTCGATCCCACTGAACTTTTCGCACTGAAATTTCTCTGCCTATTTCAAAATAAATATGACAGGTTGTAATCCAACTTTAATCATGGCAACTCAGTTGAGAGAAATTCGAAAGTTATACCTTCGAAATTCCCCAAATTTTTTTCTATGGTTTGGCAATGTTGTCTTTTTAACGGGTAGCGATATGTGCGCTTTAGTAAAACTGTAATATAGGGCCCCACTGCTGAGCAGTGGGGTCCCATTTTTTGATTTGCCCTAGGGCCCTTGGTTACCTAACTACGCCACTGGTTGATTACAGAGGAGATTTGATCGTTAATTAGCTATTTTAGTAGTTTGTTTATTTCCAGCTGTAAGTCTAATGATTTATACAGAAAAATGCGTGTTCCGCCGGCGGCTGTACTGCAATGATACCATCGTTTATGACATTATCTCTAAGAGTGACGTAAGTCTTACGAAACCTAACGAATCAACGTGACTGTTATAGCATTTATATTTTAATAATAAATAATACACTATTTATACGTTTGATTATACTTCTTAAGGGTCTTTCATAAATTACTTCACACTTCAAGGGAGGGAAGAGTGACAAAGTGTGAGATAGCGTGACAAGGTACGGGAGAAGTAATAAAATATGTGATGTCACATTTCAAAATTTACATTTTATTTACAAATATTTTATATGAAAATAAAACTAAATTCAAAACTAGTCGCCATTGGAACAGTGGTTGGAGAATCTTTCACAAATGTGACAATAACGAAGGTGGATTAAAAATTGTGAAAATTTTGTGACTTAAAATATGGGTAGCCCTCTTTCATATATAATAGTTTTTTTCTAAATCAAACGCCGATTTTGTCTATGATGATAAAAATCTTTTACCAATATTGCATCTTGTTATTTATTGTTGTATATAAAATGAGCTATTTTTAATAATTGCAACCGCAAAGAGGCTGACAGCCCACCAGCAGGTAAGTGTTACTGTTAGTTTATTTCATTATATATGTGGTAGGTAGACTACGTCTACTATTTTTCGAGAAATAATACACATTTGTCTTACATTAAAATCCGTTCCATCACACTGACAGACATATTTTCGCATTAATAATAGAAATAGAAATATTCTTCATTCAAATAAACTTAGTAGGTACAAGCACTTTTGAATAGTTATATTTTTTATTCTACCACTCATTCGGAACGCAGATAAACATCACAAGAAGAATGAGCAACGAACTTTTGTGTTATTTGTATAAATAAATATTATTCCAAGTAAATACCCATTAACAAGGATTAAACATGCGACAATCAACACAGAAACGTGAGTATCTTATGCAATCAGATAATATTGTCAACACTATGAATTTTAAGTTACATTTTTTCTACGAAAACATTATTATTATTTATAAACTCTTCAATTTTATACTAAGCTTTAATATAAAGAAAGTGTTTTATAAGACATTTGAAGCTGTTTTCCGGCAGATGAAGGTCAAATTCTGGCAATTTATTCAAAAATCCTACTCAATTCTCATAAACCGCATTACTAACTTTCGTCAAACGGCACTTAGTTTACCTAAGAATTTGACCTTCATCTGCCGGAAAACAGCTTCAAATGTCTTATAAAACACTTTCATAAGACATTTGAAGCTGTTTTTAATCAGTGTTATTAGGCTTTTATTAGTGTATAATTTGCTAACTTTTTTGAAATTGTCAATAGTTTGTTTTTAATGTATCATGATGAAACGGTCCTTCCGCTTGCGCTAACGGTTTACGATGGCTGGGCACCAATGGTATGATAAGACGAGCATGAGGATGAGGTCAGGTCAGTTAGTACATCGTAAACAAATTCACCAGGAATTTATCACGATGGTTTCTGGGTGGAACCTTCGTGGAAGTCAGTCTGACATGGTACATTACTAGTAATGAATATTATTTTATATGTGACATTACTAATAATCCCATTCCCCCCGTGTAATATTTCTGTGGACACTTGAGACCCTTCCAATTATGTAGTTTACGTCACCACTAACATCAGTGTAAAATCAGTCTACGTCCCGACTCCACGTCGACTGTACGCGTTATTAATAAACCATGTAGCACACTATCAACAAACTTAATAATGTCTAATAAATAGTGCAATTATTTTACTGGTATACTCACTACCTACATACTACAATAAATAATATATTATGTAGCACCACCTCATCACAACATATATAAGGGTACAGTGATGAGGATAACCACCGCGCTGCACCCCCAACAAAATGTCAATATTAGTATGGCTGGCGATTATTTTGCCTTATTAGGTGTACGTTATAAATAAAAATGCAATATTTTATTATTAATATTGCATTCAATAACATCAAACTCCATTTCAATATTGTCACTCTTCTTTTATCTGATATCCTATTCTGAATTATCTTCAATTCTCACTTCTTCTCTTGACTCCTCATCTTTCTCTTCTACCCGTTTCTTACTCCTTTCAGCCTCTCCACTTGGCTTCCGAAAGCACTGTATTCCATACACTGTATTTATTTTTATCAAGTCCAATTCTGATAATAGATTTTCGTTCTGCCCGAGCGACTTCATGACCGAACCGTCTGAATCCTAAAAAAATATAGTTATAATACTAAATGAGGTGGATAGAGATATTGTCGATAATAAGATATACTTAAGAAATAAATAAATAGATTTTAAATAACTCTGGACAATTAATACAGCGCCATCTAGTTCCATGGTAAGCAGAGCTTGTATTATAGGTACTAGACAACTGATATAAATACTTAGATACTATTTTTTGTAAATGCATACATAAGTGCCGGCCCCAAATTATAGGATAAAGGCAATGCACTGAATGTTACATAATATACATAGAAAACACCCAGACCGATGGAAACAATCATACTTATGAATACAAATATTTGCATCGTGCGAGGAATCGAACCCGCGACCATCGGAAGTAAAGCGGTGTGCTAAACCACTAGGCTACCGATCCTTTATACATAGATAATTTATAAGGGTTGTGATATTGATAATAGTTTATTCGTCTTTCACATATCTATAATATATCTACTCACAAATAAGGTGACGATTCACTTAATACTAAGCTGGAAGCTGATGAATTTACTGCTTTATTTCTATCTACCTTTAAACCGAAATATACTTACAAAGAAAGATGCTTGTTGGATGAAATAGGTGAGACAGGTTTTACACAGATAAAGAAACAGAATCGAACTGAGCACCTCTACTTATTTTTAGGTTAGTTTAAAACTACTCACCTGCTCTTTGTAAGTGGCGACCGTGGATATGCCAGTTTTGCCAATTTTGCGCCAAAACTGCCAAGCCGGATGCGTCGCACTGGCATAATCGTAGGGTAAAGGAAAAGTGGCGTCCTCTCTTATCTTTTCGAAATGGTGCATTTTATCTTAAAAAAATACATTACGAAAAAACGAAGAAATATTTATTCAGTGCTTATAAATAGATCAAGAATTTTTTTTAAACGAAACCGATAAATTTCAGGATAAGAGGCAATAGTAATATCTTAATCCTCTAGAATGGCAACATATGGAAGTATCACGGATGTCACATGTTGTTCGTGTACATAGGCGACGGTTACCACTTACCGTCAACTTGTTTGCCATTCCGCCACAAGGACATCGTGATGTACTGTCCATGGTACAACATATATAGCACATCAGTTCCAATAAAAGCAGAAAAAGTCACGTATAACAATTAGTTCTAAATACCTAAAAACTGTTCTATAACAAATTACGTACACGAGAGTTACCTCCTACCAACAGGTCATTCTTGTTGCGTTGAATTTTAAAGTAGGGGGTAAAAGTTACTGAAATTGGTGTGACGCAATTTATGGGACAGCTTGTAGTTTATGTGGGAAAGAGAAGGAGGTATTATGTCGTCTCTATCGCAAACTGCTGGCGTCATGCGAGTATTATGCTGAATGGCGAGTGTGAAAACAGTGGTGTGAGTCTGAGAGACGATAATTAGGAAGATAAACAGTATACTCCCCTTAATCGTGATAAGGTAATAAACAGATACGCAGACACTTACGTTACTAATGTGGACTAATGATGTCATTACTAGTAATATATTATGGCAGGTTGACCTCAACGCGGTTCCTCCTGGAAACTATCATGATAAATTCCGGATGAACATGTCATGAGGGCTAATTGACCTGACCTTGTGTTCATCTTATCATCCTCTACTGGTGTCTTGCCAGTGTAAACCGAGCGCAGGCGTGTGCATCATTCCATTATCATCCACTTAAATATATAGATCGTCAAACAACTAACCAGGTCGTACATGCCTCATATGCACTCTGATGTACTTGTCCCGATCGTGCCTGGCCACCTCGAAGTAGAAGCCAAGCATCGCCATCACCATCATGGCGGCGTGCTGTCGGTGCTGACCACCGCGGAACAGTTCCAGGCATCCAAACACCTGAACAAGTGGTAATAAGAATTAGATTGATAATAATCACACAGAGCCATCCAGTCCCAAGCTAACCAGAGCTGTCTTATGGCTAGAAGACAATTTTTGTAAATATAATCAATCAGGAGGAAACAGATTGTTAGTAATGTGTATTAATACTACCATTGCTTCTGGGAGTCCCACTGCTTCTGTTTCCCTGGAAACCACAGTGATAAATTCCTGATTAATTCTGTCACGATATGTCAACTGACCTGACCACATGCTCATCTTATCATCCTCCATTGGCCATCATTCCATTATAATTAATAAAAAATATAAACAATCATACTCATGAATACAAATGTTATACCATGCGAGGAGACGAATCTGCAACCATCCGATGTAAGACGTGCTAAAGTGTTTTATCTTTAGAAAAATTGTTAGAAATAATCCAATTATTGACGGTAAGGTTAAGAAAGGGAGTAAGAGAGTACGAGATGTCTGCAAACAGGGATGAATGGACGAAAACATATTACGCCGACCACAAATAAATGGGATAAGGAAGAATGACCGTAATGAAAAATACTTGTGCAGACTCACTTGCCTGTCCCCCACACGTCCTGTAACGTAATCTGGACTCGTGTCCAGGTGTAGATAATCGGTGTACCTCTCTGCTTCTTCCTCTGTGATCTCGTCAAGTTTCACACACGTTTTCTTTTTTAAAATGCTATTGACTTCTTCAAGACGGCGACGCATGTCTGCTATGTCATCTAAAATGTACACTTACTTTTATTTTTGAAATTTTAGTGTACCTTACAACGATTTATGCTTTGTACTAATTAATTTGTGTAAGTAACTTTGTCTTGCCTACTACTTAGTATTCTGTACTTTTAAACTTTTTTTAGAAAGAACATTTGATGTTTTTATATATATATATACATATTATAATTTAATATTTTGTTCTTTCTTCGACATTATGTAATTTTTGTCTCTAATTACTGTTTATTGCATGAACTTTCATGATGCCTTAAATATATATGTAGTACTCACATGCAGGATCGTCCTTAATAATATATCTGACGATACCATCCGGCCACTTCCTGTCGTCATAAAATTCACGGTTCTTTTTCGAAATACGTACAGTTTTAGGTATAAATTGTGCTCTATTCCTTTCTGTTTTAACTTCAGGTGACTCGACTGCGTGTACATCTATTAGTTTTAGTTGTGGGCTTGAGAAAACATTAAGAAATTATTAATTTAGCAATTTCATCTGGATCTAAAGTAGTTGATCACAAGATATATATGCCATCTTTCAAAATTTAAATTATTTGCTAAAATTATTTTAATAAATCTTTTATTATGATTTTATTCACAATATGGGTTTAATTTGATTGTAAAATAAATACATACTTTTGATCATTATTCTCTCTATATTCTTCTATACGCTTCTGTCTCTTTCGCTTTCTTTCTTTGTGTCTATTGTCTTCTCTGCTATTCTCATGTCTTATTTTCTTCGGTTTACGATTATGTTCAATATATTTGTGTTTTGTTTCGCTCTCTTTTCTTTTACGCTCTTGTATAATATATCTATGGATATTCGAGTCCGTTGGATCATTATCTTTTAAATTCTTTGATTTATCATATTGATAATCTTCTGTGTTACTTTTGTCCTTTTGATGTCTATTCTTTTTACCTTTACGATACTGATTCATTGTATGTTCTTCTTCTTCTAATGACAATGCAGATGAATCTCGTTCTTTTTTAGTAGTCCGTTTGCTTTTGACCCTGTTTAAGTGATGTATGTTAACAAATATGTAAACTTTATAGGAAAGCTCTGCCAAATTAAACCGTAAGTATTGTCTCTCTACTGCTCTACAATAAACAATCTTTAAGATACATACAACGATCTCAATGCATAGTTTATATATTTTTTAGAATTTGAAATTTTTACTCGAATACGCAATATATTGTAATTATAAACCGAATTATATAATTTTTGTATAATTTCGTGTATGTTAGATTATTTTTTATTGTTAATATTTTTTATTTAGTTTTTCATACTATGGGTGAAATTGTGGAATAGATAAACGGTGTTCAATATACAGGATCTTTATTTAACTCAAAGTGATACAGAGTTTGTTTACACTTACATCAACCGTCGGGAGTGCCTCCTATCTTCCAATTGCGCTATTCTTTTGTCATTTTCTTTTATATTTCTTTTCCTTCTTACATTGTCTGTATTTGTTTCATTATTTTCGTTTCCAGAACGGAAGTTGTGGTACGGTTTCTGAAGTCCTCTACTATCATGTTTTGTGGATTGAAAATATATTGGTCTGTGTTGCGTAGAATGTCTGACAGGTCCAGATTTAGTAGATTTGTAAGTTTTGGGGCATCTATTTGGCTCATGCCAGTTACATCTTGCACGTAAATAAGATTCAATCGAATCATATTCTTGACAAAATAACGTTAAATTAGAAACAGCATGTTTGACCATATTTTTAGCGTAATTGGCCACAATTTCAACAATGCCTAAAATGTCTGGATTTGCATTTTCAGAGTCAGTACCCATTCGTAATTTAGAACTGTTTGTAATAGATTTAGAATTATTGCAATATTTATGTTTAGCGTTATCCAAGGCCAGAGACGACATCTTATAGATTTGATCGACGATATTTTGCAATTCTTCTTCTATTCCGAGATCTTTTAATGTTTCATCTACTATAGTAATATTTGATTCATCTGCACTCTTTTCTGTGTCTTTTTTGGAACCATTTACAGTATCTGATGGTGGAGTGATATTTGGATTCACACGTAAACTTCTATTCTCTTCTACAGCTCTCTTCTTACGAGCTACTCCAGGGTAGTTCTGGCATAGTTCTATCTTTTCTTGTCGATCTCTTCGCCGACATTCAGGACCATAGACTATATCAATCTTCCGAATATCTAGACTTGTTAAACTGACTCTATCTTGTTTTACATTGTGGTCCTGAAATATAATCAATTAATTCCGACATGCATTCTGACTGACTCTATTGATAGACAATACTGATAACGAACCAAATTAATCCGAACCATGCCCCCTGCTACGTTAATTTCCATCTTTCCAGGGATGTTTAGCATTACATTCACCACAAATTATATTTTTGATAATGCCTCTGCCAACCCCATCTGGGTTGTTATTTATAGTAAAACTAGCTGTCCCGGCAAACGTTGTTTTGCCTTAAAATAAAAAAAATTTAGGGGTGGACTACCCCTAACATTTAGGGGGATGAAAAATAGATGTTGGCCGATTCTCAGACCTACTCAATACGCTCACAAAATTTCATGAGAATCGGTCAAGCCGTTTCGTAGGAGTATGGGAACGAAAACTGTGACACGAGAATTTTATACATAAAATAGTAAATAATTAATAAAAACAGTTTTACCTTAAACATGATAGTACGATGTCCATTCTTGCTGTATTCACGCTCCCCAAAATGCATTACACTGTTCACATCATAGGGTAGATGTCGCCACTCCAGCGGCAGTTTCATATCTTTCATGAACAATTGTACTGCGGCTAAAAGATATATTATAAACAGGTCAAATATTGGTTATAAATGAAGTTATACATATATACAGGGTGTCTCGCAAGGTGTGGACGAACAAAACGTCGATGATAGGAAAGTTATTAACTTTTATTGGTACCATCAGTTTTATTATCCTAGGTCTTGTTTGAGAAATACGATTTTTTATTTTTATTAATTTTTGTTACTGCTCATGAATTTAACAAAATTTTTACGAATATATTAATGTAATATATTAATTACTAATATGTAATATAAATACTAATAATTTAAAATATTGATTTACAATTGGCGGGCTTAATGCTAGCATTCTCTACTCCTAATCTTAGGGAATGCAGACATACTCGAAGATAAAATATTTTTATTATTTCTGCTTTTTATTGTTCAATATATTTACAAGGCCACTTATTTTCATAAATAAAATTATATTATATAGGCACTTTTATAGTATACTGCACTGGCAATGTCATAATGTAGCCTGGTACACAGTATATTTCCTTAACAACAGTTGAAAACAATGTATAATAACGCATAGAACTCATAAACATTGATAACAAATGAAATATATAAATCTTATGGACAGAATAACAAAAGACAAGGTATCTATCTACATATAAATTATGCTTGATAATAAAGTTGATAACAAGAGCAAACGTGGGCTAATTAAATACAAAATGATAAGCCGCAATTACTATTTCTAGTATGTTATCAAAGTTGAGACAAGCAACATGTCTACTAATGATATAGAATTTAAATTAGGTTTAAACGCGTTTGTGGAAACAAATCTGCAATCTCCTGACTACGATGCTATGATTTTGATATTATACCCTGAAGAATTGAAGGTGCAGTTGCCCAGACATATTGGGGGATTTGTCGAGAAGTGTTTTAAAGTGGACAGACATATCCATAGCACGACAACTGTGTGGAATTGCGAGTATGTATCCGGTGGTCGACTGATCATATCACCAACTGGTCAGATCAGCGCTTACCATGATGTCACCGTTGTCAAGCAGGCCGCAAGAAAAGGCATGTTAAGAGCTTTAGATGCAGGCGCCAGAAACCCATTGTTAGTTGTCCAGAATTTAGTGGAGTACCCTGATGCTCAATTGGTGTGCATTCTTGGAGCATTAGAAGCTTTGTACACTCCGTTGCAAATAAGAGAACGAGAAGGAGGTAGGAATTACATAAAAATTGGCTTTTACGCAGAAGATAAAAACAATGATGGTTTCGATAGGATTGTTAGAAACGCAATCGCTTTGGAAAGAGCTAGGGTCTTCGCTAGAGACATCGGCGGCGCTGATCCTGAGAGGATGACGCCGGAAAACGTAGCGCAGTTCGTTACAAATTCTTTCGCTGGAGACACAAATATTAAAGTAACTGTAATTCGAGATGAAAATATTATTGCTAAGGAATATCCGCTTTTGGCTGCGGTGTCTAGAGCGGCGAATCGTATAGACAGACACAAAGCTAGGATTGTAGAAATCGAATACAAACCATCTGACCCGACCAGAATAACTGAAACTGTCATGCTTGTTGGTAAAGGAGTTACCTACGATACTGGTGGTGCTGATATTAAAATTTCCGGCAAGATGCCTGGAATGTCGAGGGATAAATGTGGTGCTGCAGCTGTAGCTGGGTTTTTGAAGGCTTGCTCGATATTAAAACCACCTCATTTGAAGGTCATTGGAGTATTATGTCTTTGCAGAAATTCAGTAGGCGAAGATTCCTATGTAGCTGACGAATTGTTAGTGTCAAGAAGTAACAAGACTGTTAGAGTGACTAATACAGATGCAGAAGGTCGATTCGCAATGGCAGATTCTGTATTTAAATTATCAGAGGTCGCTGATAAGGAACTTAATCCTCACATTTACACGATTGCAACATTAACCGGTCACGCCAGAGCTTGTTACGGTAAATACACGGCTGTAATGGACAACCATAGTGCAAGAGCTGCGAATCACGCAGGTAGGCTGCAGTTTTCAGGATCAAGAGTTGGTGAAGGGATAGAAGTGTCTGTGATCAGACAGGACGATCTAGCAGTCAACGTTGGGAAATCTAAAGGTGATGATTTGGTTCAAGTTGATATGGAAACTAAATCGCGACATCATCAGCTAGCTGCTGGATTTCTGATTAAGGTTGGAGGACTGGAGAATAAGAATATCAAGTATACGCATATGGATATAGCTGGATCAGCTGGAGAAGCACCTAATGAACCAAGTGCCGTACCCATTCTGTCTTTGTGTCATTTGCACCGAGTACTATTGTTTTAATTTCATATTACTAATTATTCATCATTTTATATTTACTCATAATCTTAATGATTACTAAAGATTTATTACTACCGTAAATTTGACTAGTAGCAGCTCATATAATAATGTATTTGAACGCGAAATATCATTGAAATCTGCATTAACTAACAACTAAACTTCGAACAATTTTTCTTATTTATTATATATAATTAATAATAAAATATTAACAAGAATTTTATTAAGCCAAAATTTTTTATGTCAATAACTCCTGAGCGTCTTGACGAAATTTAATATTATTTACTACAATTATAAATTTCATATTATGATAAAAGTTCCTAAATAACTCTAATTTAGAGAATCATTTATAAACTTATACGTATAATTAGTAAAAATCACGGGATCTTACCATGTTTTATATTTATTTGCTGAGTTCCCGATATTTCGGTAGTGTTTCAACCACCATGATCATTTATAAACTTTTTTTTTTATTTATAAACTTATGTTAAATTATCAAATAGTAAATAATCTTTTGGATTATTATATGATGTGTTATGTGATGTGTTTTTCGTCGTTTTGTATAATTTATTGGTTTCTGAATCAATTATGAAAGAACTATATAACTAAATACCCGCGAGATTTTTTTTTTATTAAAATAAATCTTTAAAAACTAAAAGTAGCCTAAATTACTCTTTTTAACATTAAGTACATACGAGTCCCGTCAATATCTGTCCGACCATTTCAGAGAATTGCAAGAGCAAACAAACAGACAGTTAAACTATTTTTGTATAAATTTTTTTATGTATGGTACATATGATTATTATATTATACGTTGATGTTAGCAGACATAAGATAATATTACATAATGTTAGTGAAACAGACACATCAATTTTATTTTATTTACGTATTTGTATAGATAATATCCTAGATTAGGCTCTGTTTATAATAATACAAATAAAACGTCGCCGTATAGAGCCACAACATACTGCATAATGCATCATTATTAAACAGAGGTCAAACTAACAAAACAATGATAACTCAAAATAGGTATGCATTTATCAGTAAATTATAAATATTTACTTTACCGCTATATTATTTATTACTCATATTTTGTTTTTAACAATAATAAATCGAATATTTACTTGCAATTCGAATTGATATTGTGTAGGTATTTAGATAAAATGATTAACTTCATTCCTGATTCTGGGTGGCAGTGTTCTTCCTAATCTATATCGATCGAGGTACAGTTTGTAGAAAGTGGTCTACTTACCTACCTTACCTTACGTTATTTTAAAGGATTACTTTTTTAAAAGACATAACGGAATGGCGTAGTGGCCTATGCCATTATAAATCCTTAAAAAAAAAGGTATGAGATAGCGGGGCACTAGTGAAGGATGATAAGATGAGCATGAGGTCAGGTGAGCGAATCGTGACAAATTCACCAAGAATTTATAACGATGGTTTCCTAAGGGGAACCGCGTGGGGGTCAACCTAACATGTAACATTGCGATCCCCTTCCGTAATATTATCTTATATTCTAAGTCTTACCTATTTCAGACGCCAAACAACTTGTTTTTGAAAAAAGTTGAGGTATGGCAATGAAATTACAGGGTAAGTTAAACCTAGGTAGTCCTCTGGAACGACAATGAGTACCCTGAGTGTCACATTCTTCTTGTGATGAGACAGAATATGACTATTCAGAAGTGCTTAAATTAAGTTTATTTGAATAAATTATTTTCTATTCTATACTCGTGAAAATCCCCATGATGTAATCTCTAGTGAAAGCCCTTTTACTAACAATCCCTTCTTGCCAATGAAAAAACCTACCTGGCTCTATGTTTTCCAGCAGTACGTCAACATACAGGTCCCTACTGGCTCGGTTGTGCTCGAACGGGAAGCCCAGCGCCCTCATGAGGATCATGTCGATCTGAGGCGAACGCAGGCACTCGTAGCCAAGGATTATTTTCTGTAATAATAAATAACATAATTGTCGGCGATAAAGGAAACCAGGGACTTGTCGTAATATGTATAAATATATTGTCAATTAGTACATAGTATAAAACGAAGTCGCTGTCGCTGTCTATCCCTATGTATGCTAAAATCTTTAAAACAACGCAACGGATTTTGAAGCGGTTTAATAAATAGAGTGATTCAAGAGGAAGGTTTATATATATAGAATTCATGTACACCCGTCTGAAGCCGGGCCGAGTAGCTAGTATGTAATATACAAAGAAACACTACTAACTAGGACCAGGAAGGGAAACCGAGCGGAACAATATAAAGAAGTGACAATTTAGAATAGAATTTGGTATTTGAAATATGATACTTATAAAATAGATTATAGACTAAATGACTGACCTGTATTCCATAATGATAGTAACTCAGAACAATTCGCACAGCGCCACCTAGTCCCAAGCTAAGCGAAGATTGTGTTATGTGTGTACTATTTAAGAAATATATAGGTTATCTAGACCAGTGATTCCCAATTATTTTTACAAAAGGCCTTATTATAGCAAACACACTAATATTATAAATGTGAAAGTTTGTGAGTGTGTGTGAAATTAATGAAGGTAATGTAATAATAATAATCCTGGATGATACACACAGCGCCATCTAGTTCCAAGCTAGACATCGATCTTTTTTATGGATAATATGGAATAATACATCACCAGTAGAGGATGATAAACTGAGCATAAAGTCTGATCCGTTATCCCATCTTATCGTAGTAAACAAGTGATAGAAATATTTATATACATTTATTTGTAAATAGTATTTGCTGCGTACCACTTCAAAAAAGACCTCAAACCTTGCATACCCCTTATTGTAGCAAACACACTAATATTATAAATGCGAAAGTTTGTTAGTGTGTATGTTTGTTTTACTGTTAGCTACTCGTACCCCTGTGGGTACGAGTAGGTACCACTAATTGGGAAACACCGGTCTAGACAACTAATATATATTTTACATATTGTTATTATCCTTACGAATATTCTAAATGTGAAAGTAGGGGTGTTTGTTACGCTTTCACGTAAAAACTACTGAACCGATCATCATGACATTTTTTACACATGTTTTTTGAGGTGTTAGAATGAATATAGGAGACTATTTATAAAAAAAACAAATATTATTTATAAAAAAAAACAAAAAAATTAAACATCAGCATTTTGCTACTTCAGCGCCATCTAGCAGCCAGTAACAAAGTTATAAATCATATTTATTGTTATGCAAGTGAAGCCGCGGGAAACCTCACTTACATGAGGCTCATCCATTGAATGTCCATCAGATTCCAAGACGCACTTCCTAATTCCAGTTGGGTTTTCAAAGACCAGTACATGTTGAGCTCCTTCAGGGGCCACTAGTGCAGGCATGAATTTCAGGCACGTTTTGAATGCAAAGGCTGATAGCGTAGTCATAATCGCCAAGGATTGCTCGTAATCTGCAAGTGTGTCAATTTGTATTAGTGATCACCAAATGGTCGAGGTTCATCAGGTCTTCAGGGTTTCGGAAGATTGCTTGCGAACTCCCGTAACTTTAAAAAAAAGGTTTTTTTTCTCTTCTTTTGGCTCCGGCGGTTTGTGTTGCCATTAGCCATTAAAAAAAAAGTTAAGAGAATGAATAACTTAGTGTTTTTAGCTGGTAAGAGCCTGATAGAATTAAAAAAAAAATTAAAAAAAAATCGAAGTTTGGCCATATTTTTTGGATCCCAAACTTTCTTGGCAAATGCACAATAGTGCCATGTTGTGCATTTGCCAAGAAAGTTTGGGAAACTATAGCATTATATAGAGGACATAATTAAATTAAATTATAAATTTTAACATTAATAATAATTGACATAGACTGTTTTATAATTACTGGAACTGGAAGTCGCACAGTTCTGCCAGTTTTATTTAAGTTTGTATTCAAAAACGATTTGTTTAAAAAAACGGACTAGTGTATAACATTGATATTGTTGTGTATATCCATATACATACATTATTAATTAGCAACATATAATTAATTAGAGATGGCCTCGCTGGTTTAGCGATTTAGCACACCGCTTTACTTCCGATTGTCGCGAGATCGTTCCTCGCACCGTACAGGCGTATTCGTGAGTATGATTGTTAGTATCGGTCTGGGTATTTTTTGTATTTACAAAAAAGAAAATTTTGGTATTTATATAAGTTTTCTAGTAGCCATAATACAAGCTCTGCTTGATGACGTTGTGTGAATTGTCCAGGGTTATTTTATTATTAATTAAGAATTATAAACCGATTTTGTGAACGTTTTTAATATAACAGATATTATTTCGTATGGACAACACTTCATCGAGTTTAATCAGTTATTGTAGACAATGTAGTAGCACATATCGATGATTAAATGCCAAACGGCCACATCAAAATTTTCACTGTGATATGTTTACTTTTTTTTACGAATCTATAAGTGGTATATCTATGTGTTAGCTCTAGAATCATGTGTGTTTTTTATAATATAAAAATTATAACGATTAGATACAATTTTTGGAAATAAATAATGTCAGTTTTTTTTGTGTTGTGGCCCTGGCACTTAATCAGCGATATATTTACGTACATAGGTGGAGTAAGTATTTACTCATTGCTTTCTTGATTTAATTGATTGATTTTAGAAATATGAAAGCGTAGCGGTTTTTGTATTAATTGCCGCATGCATTCTTATGTAAAATGTGAATACTATAACTATCAGATGGCAATTGTGAGTAGCTTTGACGTGGTCTAGTGTTTTGAGTAGTCATGCTCACTAAAATGTCCAGACTTGTGGCGGCGTGGTGGGCCGGGTCATTGGGCTCCCTAAAAAAAATATGGTCGAGCGCAGTGATGGCTGGCTCATCCGTCATACTCGTGAACGGGTGCTGCTTGTAGGGACTGGTCTGCTCTAATCACTATGACTGATTTCCTCTTATTAATTGTTTAACCAGTTGGTTATGTATTCTATATTTTTTCTTTTTGAGTATTTAATTGAATTAGTGCTAATTGGTGGTTTGTATTCACACACTTAAACTTAAAAATGTAAAGTAATAATAAAATTATTTAAAAGAGCAACACGCAAGTTTCTTGCTCGTTCTTCTTGTGATGAGAAAGCTTTCCGAACGAGCGGTAGATTAAAAAAAATGTAATGACTATTCAAAAGTGCTTCAATGTAAGTTTATTTGAATAAATGATTTTCTATTCTATTCTATTCTAAGGCAGATAAAAATTGCCACGGTTATGGACGGTAGACATAGTACCTTTTATCACAAAAAAATATTTAGGAAGGGGTTGAAAGTTACGGGTAAGTGTTAGTAAGAAATATAATAAACTTACCAAAATGCTTCGGGTTTATATAAAATGGTATCGTACCATTAGGCCAGAACACAAATGTTTTCGTCGATATTTCTAGAATGAAAATCATTGTTATTTTCATGATTTGAAATTCTAAACCATTCAATGAAATGAACCATGTTAGGTCGACTTCCACGCGGTCGCCCTGGAAACCATGTGACTAATTGCTAGTGAATTTGTCACGACGGGCTAACTGACCCGACCTCATGTTCATCTTGCCATTATTCACTGGTGGTGGTGGTATCCAGTGGTGGTATATGAATAAATCAAAAAAATACTAGAATAATTTTAAAATAATAATTCAGTTATAAAAAGCTGCTATGTCAGGGAGTAAATACTAGTCTAGTATAGTGAGTGGTACTATAGACGGCCCCGGCCTTTAGCGTATTAGCACATGGCCTTACTTCCAATGGTCGCTGGTTTGATTCCTCGCACGGTAAACATATTTATGAGTATTATTTACAAAAAACTATATAAACGTAGGTATTTACAAATAAATGTAGATGTTAATAACTCTTTAGTTTATATAAGGAAAATATATTTTTTTAAATTCTACATTCCTTGTCATCGTTAGAACAATAGAAAATAAAGGACTGTAAATTTAGACTTCATCGTGAAATATAATTGTGAATATAACAAATTTTACTTTCCTCTTTTATTGATGCCCTATCTACGAACCTAATTATAATTAAATACCTATTATTATATATATATATTGGGTCTGCTGTACTGCTCAATAGTAGGTATATAAATATTTCTACCACTTGTTTACTACGGTAAGATGGGATAACGGATCAGACTTTATGCTCAGTTTATCATCCTCTACTGGTGATACATTAGTTCATATTATCCATAAAGAAGATCGATGTCTAGATTGGAACTAGATGGCGCTGTGTGTATCGTCCAGGATTATTATTATAACATTACCTTCATTAATTTCACCCCCTTCTAATTGATCTAACATACTGCAAACTGAAGATATATAATATAAAAACACAATAAAAAGGTACCACTTTCGCCACATAGCTACACTAAAATAAGTAAAATTAATTTTATTTATGATTTTATTACACAAACTGTATTAGTTTTATTCAAGTGAATATAAACATTGCTTTATTGGTTCTCGGAAAATTTGATAAGCTTTATTTTTTACAATGTTTGTTATAAAGTTGCAATTTTCGTCTGTTTGTTTCTACAGTTACTTTTAAATTACGCAACGCATTTTGATTTTTTTTCCTATAGCCTATTTATTTACATTCTGTACTTATGAGCATGAACCACTATGGCCATGCACGTTTTGTTATTCAAGTAATTGTTTAGTGTGTTAGAGGATTTGCTCAATAAATATGATTTAACAAATGTTTTGAATTTATTTAAAGCTACTTCTAGTATATTCTTTGGTATCTTATTATAAATTTTATACCAACTACCATATAAAAAACCCTTTTTCTAAAAGATAGTTATTAACAGCAAGTCTTGTTGACTTAATTTAAATAAAAAATAAAGATTAATAAATCTAGTATTTAACGACAATCTGGCTGTTGTCTTTAAATCTATACCAGACGGTTACATACCGTTGAAAAAAAAAATTAAGTGACTACAAGGGTCTTTTACTTTTTTTTTTCGTAATTGTAATGACACGTGGTAACCGTCGGGTATAGACGTATGTAATGTAATGGACTGCTATTTTCGGCATTTAGCCTCCTATCCTAAAAGTTTATGAGTTTTTAGGATACTTATAGTCTGTACTGAATATAATAATTGACGAGGGTGCAGCAGGAAAATTAAAAACATTAATTATATACTAAATCTATATTAATTACAAATTTCTATTCTACAATTTTTTTTTGTGGCAACCCTAATAACTTCCTAACAGCTTCGCCGTACTTCTCCACGGTTTCCGCACTTTCACCATCATTCATGTAACTGGATACTGCTACTTTATATTCCTCCCCATTTGGTATTTGTGTTACGTCAAAATTTGTTAACTCATCCTCTGCCAAATCTGTACTCTGGTTCTGCGTCTTTAAGTACCATTTCACTAGATTCCTTTTCGAGGGATTCTTATCCCAGTTATAATATTCCATGTCTTCTTCCATCTTCTCTCGTTCCCACTCCTCAAGGTTCCAAGACTCATGATAGCATGCTGTCAGCAAATAATTTACGTAATCCTGGTTTTGCTTCCTGACTGGACAGCGGTCTGCTGTAATCGTTACCAAATCTGTAGCTTCGTCATAACGATTACCAACTAACCTTATGAATTTGTCACGAGAATGCTTGTCGAGGTTTAAAGTTGATAGCTTAACCCTCAAAGTCACTATACGAGCTAACGGATTACGAATCGATGGACTAGCATGACAGTAATCAGATGTTATAACTTCTACAGGATAGTGGCGTTCTATTGCCTCTTCAGAGTTTAGGAGTTTTGGCCATTCTGTGCAGTATTGCTTAATAGATTCGCATTGGGCTTTAACAACAGGGGGTGTGAGATGCAGGAAGTTGGGAACCTTCATGAGTTCAGCATTGGCTTTCTTGCCAGGTGGTGCTTGGCCTTTAGGTACATACCCTTGGCGTAATGGTAAAGGAACAGATGATGGGTGAAAAGTTTTTGGTCCTGGCCAGACATTACCCCAATTCTGGAATTGTAATGAAACATTATTATTTAGTTGCACTAATAGGGGTAATAAGGATATTTTGTATTTGTTTAAATACATTGTAATTTACTAACATAGTATGGATGGACATACTAATTAAATGACCAAATAAAATAAGTATACTAATTGTTACGGAAGGACTGTATTAAGGCTGGTTAAAAATGAGACACGTTCCTAGGTGAGGTAAAATAGGTGTAATCAGCGCTCTAGCAAAAATATAAAAGACATTTTGGCATAAGAAAACAAACGGTATATAAAAACAGAATGTCAAAATATAAAATTCAAATATATATAAATATAATGAAAAAAAAAAATTGTAAAACATCTATGTTAATGAAATAAATTATTATTATTATTATTATATAAAAAACATAAAAACTATTGAAAGGTTGCCATCGGCAACACTAATATGTTATTATACTGTAAAAAGTCATCTGCTAAAGTATTTAACATGTTAATCACTATGTCAGTTATATATGTCTGACACTTTACAGCTTCCCCAAACGATAGGGTGCGAGTGCAGATGGCACTCCAAACCCGCGGATGGACTTATGGAGCGGCTGAAGGCCTTGTCCCACCTGACTGATACGATTTTAGTCTGAGGGTTTAGTCTCAGCACAGGCCGTCGTAATATCGATCCCCGTTTGTATAGGACAGGGGATCGGTCGGAGGGGACCATGGCCCATGTGAAATTTATTCTGATATTATCATGGCTGTTAGCTGGTATTAATGTGTTAAGTAAGCTGCTTTAGTTGTAGGTAGGCAGGTAGATATGGCATTGAAATTAGAGTATAATAATAATAGTCTGGACAATTCACACATAATCATCTCGTCCCAAGTTAAGCAGAGCTTGTGTTATGGGTACTAGACAACTGAAATAGATGTAGGTTGAGGCACCCATGCAGACAACCTTATTGTTAATAGTATTTTTGTCTAAGTAACTGATACAATTGAATTCTAGTTGAGTGACATGCATATAGAGTAATACCTGAGAAAAATAATTCAACATAAAAGCAAAATAATATTTTTAAATTAAGTATTTTAATTAACTGTTTTGCACAAACGGTAAGTTGTACACAGTTAGGGATAAGATAGCGCTATGTGAATTGTCCTGGGTTACTATTTAGTAATATATTTTGGACACAAAACCTTATGTAAAAAAGAACATTCAGCTGGGTAGCTGTATGCAGATTTCTGAAAATATACTTACTTGATCTGTGGCCATTCTGTCAGCCCTATCTGGCTGTATATCAGCTCTTTTATTTACTCTTCTCTGTAGCCTCTGCCTTTTCTTTAAAATATCTAAGACACGGAATTCTTCATCCTCTTCAATTTTATTTACTGCAACATCTGTGCCGGTCGAGTTGCATCGCCATATTGTATTCAAGGCAATGTTAAAGCCTCCAGGCTTGTAATATTTTATTAAAATACTCATTTTTTATTATAATAAAGTTATTTATTTACAAATTCATAAAACTCATATTTAGTATTTTAGGTTATTTAGTTAAGACAGAGAAAGTAAATAATGATAGTCTGTGGTCTTGACAGTGTTGCAAGATAAACGTCTTGCTGATTCCCAGTTTTTCTCAAAATCTTCTTCATCAGACTTTAGTCTGTGAAATAGTTACCATTTCCGACAAAAAATACTAATATTTTTTTTTTTATCATTATATATTAATTCATATTTATATATTATAGATCACGAGTTCTACTTTTACTACTTTTTTCAAAAGATTATTATTCTAATTACCTTTCAGTACACAGACAATATTCTGTTGTATTCTTGTTTCTTAGATCACAAAATGTGCTTCTGTTAACTATCAATGATATATTTGTTCACATCATTGTCTCAAAACTCTCCAAGATTAGAGGGAAAACCTTCAATCCAGCAGCACTATTTGTGAGATCTATCGTAAATTTTGGGTAACATGTAATCTTATTCACAGAGCAATTAATCACTACGCCTTGTGGTCTTGAGTATCGTCAAAAAACTAATGAAATGAAATTGTTATAAGAAGTGCATTAATTAATATAACTCCAAAAATGTACTCCTTAAATATATGTCACATAATATTGGTACATTATTTATTAACATGTTGACACAGTGTTGCAGATAATTAAAATTAAATGTATCAAATTACTTTCCGAACGTAAATTAATGTTAGTGAACTACCTACACAAGCATGAACATGTTGAAAACGTCACGAAATTTATAATCCGGGTAAATTAAAAACATTATTGCATATCAGAAAACCAATACAGCTGTGTTAGTTTTGCGGCATTAATAACATGTTAGAAAGAGATGTGTTTAAGTTTCCATGACAGATAATTTATGGAGAGAGTGCTATTTAATTTGTTGACATTTCTTTTCTTGTCGCATTTGCAGGTACTACACTAATTTTATATTATATCTCTCATGCCGAGTTCGGCTTAAATGTGGAAATAAAAGTTGTTTGAAGTTTTATGTGCTTTTATAATGTGTTTAATCTGAATCAAAATGACGGAGAATTGCAATAAGAGGTCTAGAAAGTCCAAATTAGTGCCGCGTGTGTGTCCAGACGTCGATGATAATATTCCGCAAGTGGAGGTAGGTGAATACCACCATTTTGACAACTTGACAGTGAATTCAGAAGTACCTTCACATAATATTAGTTTAAACTATAATTTTGTCAACATTGTATAAATTACTAAGAATACTCATTAATCTTACTTATTTTTTGTTATAAATATGATTACTGCAGTTATTTATATCCGTTTATGGTACTGTAAAAGAAATAATTCAATATAATTTTTTTAATTGGTGATAATGATCATGCAATGGTGCTAGAGGATGATGGGTTGAGCATGAAGTCAAGTCAAGTTATTCAAGTAACAAACGCAATTGATAGAAAATACGTAGCATTAAAAATGTACCAGTTTATTTAATTTGTTATTTTTCGTCTAAACTGCAGTGGGTAGTAGAGTTGGCGGATAGGGTTAGTGATAAAGTACATCATAAATGGCCAATAGTGTCTTATATGAATAAACAATTTTCACTTTGGAAATGTAAAAGTATAAATTTATAAATGAAAATTTGTGTGTGTGAAATTATTATAGTATTGTTTTTATTATGTAAATTTATTTTAAGGTTTTTGTTTCCAAACATGTCAATCTCATTAAGTAGATAAATCCTCAAACAATTCTTTTTTTTTATTTTTTATTATTATTTTTATCCTGCAATCGGCTTACCAAGCCTTTAACAGATTGTTTGTGGGACTGTTGACGGGAGAGAACTATACCCCCAGTGAGGAAACTGTCTCATCGGTGAATAAGATTCCATGCATTTAGTCTCTTAAGCCTTCTGCATTGCAATGGGTCTCGTAGTGCTGTTGCAAGGATATTGGTATGCGCCCCTATACAATCTCTGTATACTCTTGTTCTGTGCTCTATTTCTTCTCTGATTGTTCTCATTCCTGTGTACTCATGCAATTCTGTTGTTCTAATGAATAGAGGTGCAGCAGTTATGGTTTTATGCTTTATTCTGAAACCGTTGCAAAATCTCTATGTTGGAATGATCCCCATAACTCGATGCCGTATGTCCAGATTGACTTTATTATGGTTTTATAAATGAGTATCTTGTTTTCCATGGTTACATATGATCCTCTGCCTCTGCTGGAGCTCACTTTAATGCGCCACTTTTCCATCCATTCATGTACCTTATTCAGGTGACTCTGCAAAACCATGGACGCAATGTTCGGATTTTCATTGTTGCAAAGTGCGGCAGTGTCATCGGCAAACATAGCAGACCAATATATTATCCGATGTTGGTATGTCTGTAGTGTACATAAGATACAGAATGGGACCCAAGTTGGAACCCTGCGGTACTCCGGCTTTTATATCTTGAAAGGTAGAGTAGGTGTCATTGATTTTGACTCTAAACAATCTGTCCTTTAAATAAGATTTTAAAAGTATGTAAAAGTTTATGTGGAAGGTGTTTCTTCAGTTTGAATAGCAGTCCCGGGTGCCAAACCTTGTCAAATGCCTGTTGTACGTCAAGAAAAATAGCAGAGCAGTATTGCTTCTTCTCTAGAGCTTCTCTTATTTTGTTGACAACTCTATTGACTTGTTCAATTGTTGAATGGCCAACTCTGAATCCAAACTGATGTTGAGGGATAATTTCTTTTTCATTTAATACCTGTGTTAACCTTCGTAAAATTATCTTCTCAAATAATTTTGATAAGGTTGGAAGTAAGCTTATTGGTCTGTACGAAGACACAAGGTGTGGAGGTTTGCCAGGCTTGGGAATCATGACTATCTCTGAAACTTTCCATAGCTTTGGCACATGTCCAATCCTAATTATACTATTGAAAAGTTGTGTTATACCGACTATACCTTTTTTAGGAAGCTGTTGGAGAACTTCAGCTGTAATCAGGCAGAAGCCAGGGGCTTTATTTAGTTCTAAGTTTTTTACTTCTCTTTGGACTTCTTGTGGAGAGCAGCTTTTAAAGAGCAGCTTGGAAGAGATAATTGGGAGTCAGCCCTATAGTCAAGTATCTCTTTTTCGGCTTCTTCTTTCAAACAATTCTTAAAAATAATTATAGTATTTATATTCGGTTAAGTAATAACATAACAAATCTGCCTCAGTGATCAGAGTAGACCTACAAATAGTTATTTTTAAACTTACATGTTTAATATACATTATTTAAATTATTAACTGGGTCTTAACACAAAAAAAATTATGGTAAACTAGCTGTTCCCACGACATCATCTGCATGGAATCAAATTTAATTTCATTTAAAATAACAGTAGTCTCCCTAAGTTACTCCCTATTACATCAGCTACCTGCCAAAAAAAGTTCCGTCAAAATCGGTCCAGCCATTTCAGACATTACCGGAACAAACAAACTGACAGACAGACAAAAATTGAAAATTTTTTAGTGTATGTACCGTATTTATCTTCATATGCGTGTAGTAAAAAACGATTATTTCAATATTAAAAACAGACACTCCAATTTTTTTTTATATGTGTAGATAAATACATATAATAATGGCAAATAAATACCTTTATTTGCCATAAAATGATTTGTGTTAAGACCTCGTTAATAATTTAAATAAGACCTCCAAATAGCTTCCATTCCAAAGTAAGATCAATTCATAACATTGCACTAAATCTTATTATTATTAATGTTATAAAAACAGAAGATGTGGGTATGGATGGATTTTTTAGTAGAATAGAAAATAATTTATTCAAATAAACTTACAATTTATTAAACTGCTCTTATGTAAAGAGCACACAAACACAGTGCATTTTCAGAAATAGGGCATATACACTCTGAGTAATACCCACATACATCTTGTGAGTGTGGATGAATTTTAATTTATCTTTAATTAATTTATATATAAATCCAAGACGTTTTTTCTTTTTATTTTATTTAGGCACCAACAATTGTTACAAACTTACAGTTTATTTAATGGGTTATGGTCTAAATGCACTATTATTTATAGGCGAACATGACATGCAAATTAATATAGTATACAAAAGTTATATAATAAAAAAATCAATATAACTGTTTTTTTTATTATGAATAATGCTTAATATCTATTACTTCTTGTGTGTACATATGTATATATATTTAAATAAATATGAACTAAAAATATTTTACTTCTAAATTCTATGATGTTATTTTTCTTTTAAAGTCCCTGATAGTTTAGATAATTGTGTAATCAATGAATTTATCTATTTTTATACAGATAGAATAAAATGAGTTGTCATAAATCCATTGTGATATAAACAATGGAGTTCATATAGCTTTTTATTTATTTTGGAACTCTATACAAACTTGAAGCCTTTACCATGTTCTCATAATGTCACAAATGAGATCTATATATATAAATAAGTTGATGTTGGTTAGTCTCGCTAAAACTCTAGAACGGTTGAACTGATTTGGCTAATATGAAGAAATTGCATGCAAAATAGTAAAACGACAATTTTATTTTCCTATGCAAACTGCCGATACCTGTCAAACAGGGTGCATTCAGAAATTTATTGCATAATTAAACTTCAAAAAACCTTAGACATATTTAATTTTAAGGCGGAACAGAGTGCACGGGTTTAGCTCTTATGAAATATATATTTTTTTTTATTTATTAACACTTTATTGCACCAATAATACAAACAATTATACAAAGAACAAACAAATATACAAAAACAAACAAATAAACAAAGAACAAACAGATAATAAGGTACAAAAGGCAGTCTTCTCTTTTAAGCAATCTCTTCTAGACAACCTTTGTGTAGAGGAGAGATGTCAGAAAGTGGGAGATGAGGCAAGAATGGACTAGAGAAATAAAAAAGGCATAGGAATACTAAATAATAATAATTTACATATACTACTTACATATATAATACAATTTATATACTATTATTATAATACAATTTATATAATAGATATATTATAAATTTTCAAGAAGAGTGTATTAACATTTCTTAAGGGTCGGCAACGCGTATGTGACACCCCTGGTGTTTCAGGCGTCCATAGGCAACGGTAACCATTTACCATCAGATGGGCCATATGCTTGTTTGCCACCTAAGTGGTATAAAAAAAAAATATAGTTATTTTAAATTCCATATTGTCAAATAAATTTAATATAATATATATATTATATTTGACAGCCTCGGTGGTCTAGTGGTTTAGTACACCACTTTACTATCTAATGGTTGTGGATTTGATTCCTCCTACGGTACAAACATTTGTATTCATGAATATGATTGTTTATATCGGTCTGGGTGTTTTCTATGTATAATATGTATTTATTTACAAATAAAATGTATCCATGTATTTATATCAGTTGTCTAGTACCTATAACACATGCTCTGCTTAGCTTGGGACTAGTCCCAAGCTAAGCAGAGCTTGTGATATCGGTACAGCGCCATCTAGATGGCGCTGTGTGAATTGTCCTGAGATATTATTATTATAAAAATTCTTATATAGTTTTTTATTCTACCACTAATTCAGAACGCAGACTCATCACAAGAAGAATGAGCATATAACTCATTTAAACAAATGTTTTTCTCAGCATTACATTTTTAAGAATTTTAATGCTACTCAATCGATTTTCTGTTTTTGATGCAAGTATCTTTAAATGTCTTTTATTTTGGCAAGAGACTTTAATACCCCTTGTAATCCAATTTTTTTTATGTTTTGTTTTCAATTTTATTTTTTGTTTAGGTATGCATTTATTAATCGTTATTTTATATTAATACAAGAACCTATAAGAAGTTTTTTTTCTAAACTAGCTAGTCGCCCCGACTTCGCCTGGGTACATGCTTTATATATATAAACCTTTATATAGAATCACTCTATGTATTAAAAAAAACTGCTTCAAAATCCGTTGCGTAGTTTTAAAGATTTAAGCATACATAGGGACGGACAGACAACGACCGCGACTTTGTTTCATACTATGTAATATTGACGTTTTGAGCGTTTGAGTGTGACTGCAATCTCACCTGATGTTAAGTAATGATGCAGTCTAAGCTAAGCTAAGGTTTTTTTTTATTGGGTTGTTTGGGCTATTTTCAGGTGTTTGTAGCACCTGTAGCACTGCGACCTACATAGATAGAATTCGCTACCTAGACCCGTCAGGGACAAGAATTGAAGGATATTCATAGGAGCTTATTATCTCCTCAAGAAAGAGTGTAAACTTTCCAAAGGAGATATTTCGTTTATGTATGAATGGGCTACGGTTACCATTTACCATCAGGCGGACCGTTAGCTTGTTTGCCATTTCTATTACGTAAAAAAAGATATAAAAAAAAAACAGCAAATTGCTAGTAAATCTATGTAATTTCTTTTTTAATTTTTAAACTTTTAACATAATACTTATTGTATATAATACAAACAATACTTATTGTATTGTGTTGAATTAAAAATAAAAAATATTACCTTCATTTAAATTATAGTTTTAAAATTTAAATGATGTCCAAATATTCATAAATTAATAATAATAATAATCCTCCCGATAATAGTAATATAAAAAATAATGCAGAATAGTTACAACAGAAACTATTAATGCAATAATATTTAAACAATTAAAATTTCCTTTTCAGTATGTACCGAAAAAGCTGCCGAGGCTTCTACCAAAGTTAAACTGTCCAACACCTTCTGGAAATGCACTGAAAATCATTAGTAAGCCACCCATTAGCTTCAATATAAATATAGAAGTAGAAGAATATGATGAAAATGCAATTGTTGTTGATGAGTCTAATGATGATAGTGATAAGAATGAAGATGAACTACTCGAAAATGAATTAAAGCTGGAAAATGAAATAAACGAAACACTAACTAAAACACTCAAAGACAATGGTTCCCTTGAGGTATTACTTGATAAATCTGTACATAGTATATTAAAGAAAAATTGTGGTAATGATACAATACCTGATTATATTGATCAACATGATTCTGACACTGGTATGTACAAAGTTTTCTCTTTATCGACGAAAGATCTGGAGCGTATGTCTACCAAGGAACATGAGCAAACATCTAAAGATAATGTTGATGAGAATGATGCAACTGAAAATATAGTAATCACTAATACTACGGCTAATAATGACCAAGCATTAACTTCAGATTCACAAAAAACTGACTATTTGTCTTCAGAACCACTGTCGATAAATCATAATGAATTGTTCAGAGATGCTATTCTTATTAGAAATACGGCAGCAAATCCAGCAGATAGATTATTAGCTGTAGAATTATTGAATTCGTGGGGGCAGCGGAAGAATGGAGTAATGGAAGAGTCTAATAATGAAATGATTCTGCAAGCAGTGTTAGACAAATGGAGACATTGGCAAAGCCTCTCTTGGTGCAGAGAAACTCCCATGACCTACAAATGCTATTTATGCAAAGTAGGATTTTGGCGTTTGTCTCTATTCCGTGACCATATCGCTACACCTGGCCATGAGAATATAAAGATGGCGCTGGAGACTGTATACCATGAATGCCACATAAGTGCCTACGTGGCAGAAGATAATTTTGGCACGAATTTTACCATGCTGCATTTCCCCATTGAATCCAATTGCTTAAAGTGCAATAAAAGTTTTGATTCCCATCCAACAGTGAAAGAACCATATGATGATTATAAATGCAGGTTATGCCTAATACCTTACTTCACGTGCAGAGCCCTGAGACTCCACGAGGGAGTGTGTGGCTTTTTGACTAAGAAGCGCTGTACGAAGGACTCCATTCCTATTGATATGCACAAGTGTTCTATATGCCCCATGTTCTTTTCCAATGAGAAGCAAGTGTTGGAGCACTTATCGATATTTCATAGAGTATGGTCAGACATCCCAAATAATTCCAATTTTAAGTCTTGCAAATTGTGCAATCAAAATTATATAATTTTCCTTATGCATGACTGTCCAAATAAACATGGATCCAACGTGTGTACGTACTGCCAGACTTGTTTTCCTTCAAGATTGATGGTACAACTCCATTTGAATATGTCTAAGAGCAACTACAAATGTAGGATCTGTAACGTAAGGTTGGACAGACAGTGCATGGAACGTTTGCACTTGTTAGCACACAGTGAACAGTTCATGAAGGTGTATCGATGTAATTTGTGTGTTAACAAAATATTCTACCACTTCGACACTCTTAAATCACACATAGGCGCGGATCACCTGCGATTTTTTAATAAAAAGGGCTACTATAGTATCGTAAGTGTTTTGTTTTACTTATTGGGGTATCCTTAATTTCCGTTACACGTTCAGGAGAAGGGGGATGGCCATTGTGTGGCAAAATTTTTCTTACGGATGAATATGGTGCAACTGCCTGCACTTTTAAACATTTACTGAAATACATGTGACGTAATTTAAGGATATCCCTTACTACTTATATTAATTATAATTTATCTTAAGTCTAATAACATTTTTAATTGTGGGATATTAGCCTAAGTTGATGGTACATCAGATGAGGATATTAGGACGAATATGAAGTCAGGTCGGCACATCGTGGCGAATTACCCTGAACAACTCACATAGAGTTATCTAGTAAAGTACTGATAGATACACTTAACAATTTCTTTTATAGCAGGGGGCACAAACGAGCTTGCTTGATGGTAAGTGATTACCGCCGACCAAGAGCACACCAAGGGAATTGCAAGTGTGTTGCCGGCCTTTTAAACTTTTTTCTTGAAGGCTTCAATATCGTATCGGTTCGTAAATACCATTGCTGAAAGTTGATTCCATAAAGTGGTTGTACGTGGTAAAAAGTTTCTAGAAAAACGCACTGTGGAGGATCGCCATTCAGCCAAATGATGGTATTTTAGTTTGTTAGCGATGTTGAAATTCACCAGCTGGTATTAATCCGAACAAAACCTCAGAACAGTGTCCTGAGGTTGTGTGTGTCCGTAATATAAGCAGTAGAAAATGGGCAGATGTAACAATACTTCGTAAGGCAATTTTTTTTTCGGACTACTCTAATGCTGTTGGCCGCAGCTGACCTTTATAGCTTTATCGGACGATAGGGGCAAGTGCAGATGGCACTCCAAATCCGCGGAAGGACTTATGGAGCGGCTGAAGGTAAACTCCCGTCTGACGGATACGTTTGAGGGCACCGATAGGTGTTCGAACCTCGGCTCGGGCCGTCGTAATTTCGATCCCCGTTTGATTTGGACGGGGGAATGATCGGAGGGAAGCCAAGCCAATTGGTCGAGTCTGTCTATATATACATAGAAACACCCAGACAAATACATTCCTAGTACATTGTGTACTAAACAACTGATAAAAGTACTTAAAAACATTTTTTTTAGGTGTTAATAATGAAAAAGACCATGCCAGAATCCAAAAAAGTTATGAGTGCATCAGACGAACAGAGGCTGGCAATCGACAATTTAATGAGTGAGTACTTTTTTTTATCCTACATAATTCTCACAGCGCCATCTAGTATATATCTATAGACAATGCATAGACAAAGCACAAACAATCATACTCATGAATACATATATTTGCATTGTTAGTGATTAGAACTTAATTATTTATAGCTGAACATAATTTATACTATAAATATTTTTGTTTATGTGGATGAATCTTTGTTTATCATTATTACAAATTTAATCAGAATTCATTCAGTAGGATTTGGATGAAACTTTGCGATAATATAATTGAATCAATCAGAACTTACCTTTTTTAATTAAAACCATATAATAATAAACAACACTGGACAATCTATAATAATAACACAGCGCCATCTAGTACCACAGCAGAATTGGATTATGGGTATACATAAACTCAATTCAAAAGAAATCAATGTTCTTACCGAAGTTGACGGGGAAAAGTCAGAACATACTAATGTAATGTACAGACAAATTAATGTTCCAACAGAGAATCAACAAGTTTACCATTGAAAATGGTTTTTAATCTAATATTAATTATTATTTTCTCTAATTTGCAGAAGAAATGGACGAATCAAACGACCAGAATGATAAGACTCCAGAAAAACCAGCAATACGAGCAGCAGACATAATTACGATTAATTTTGATATGCATATGGGTAATCAGGGCTGTAAGATATCATCATTAAATTTACCTAATTCTAAAAAATTACAATCACATAGTAAAACTGCAACCTTAAATGATGATGATGGTAACAGTATACGTACAAATAATGATCATTCAAATGATGATAATGCAAATGATAATAATTTAATTGATAATAATTCAAATCCTGATAATTCAAATGATGCTAATTCATATGATAATCATCCAAATAATGACAATTCAAGTGATGCCAATTCTAATGATAGTCTACCAAATAATGCTAATTCAAATGATAAACAATCAAATAACGACAATTCAAATGATGCTAATTCAAATAATAATCAACCAATTAACGACAATTCAAATGATAATCAACCAAATAACGACAATTCAAATGATAATGAACCAAATAACGACAATTCAAATGATAATCAACCGAATGACGACAATTCAAATGATAATCAACCGGATAACGACAAATCAAATGATAATCAACCAAATAATAACATTGATGATGAAGAAATCCACAACCAACATATCGAAATGGTGAAGATCAAAGTAGAAATTAAAGAGGAATATGACGTTGAAGAACCCGATTATTACCTATCAAATATATTTCAAGTGTCCCGAGAATTGAGAAACAAGCCAGAAATTAAGGTTGAAATTAAAGAAGAACCAGAACCAGAAGAATATTATCAGGATGATATAATAGTTTTAAACAGTAATGACGCTGAAGAAGAAAACAACGCATCAGATAACGTACAGCCAGAAACAAGATTGGAAGTGGGTGAACAGGAAACAGTTAAAACCATCAGGCGTAAAATCGAGTTGGACCCAGATAATCAGGGATATGTTAAAAAAAATACTCCATTTGACAGTTTAGTTTGCACTAAATGTTTTAAAAGCTATATGACATTAAAAGGTTATGTGATTCATCTCTCTAAGGATCATAATGTTAGAGAAAAAGAGTGTCCGTTATGTGGACGGGTTTATTCAAATATGTATGCATTTATTTCACACATAAGAACTCATATAAGGAGATCGTTCTCAATTAAAGCAAGTATTGATAATCCAAGTACATCAAAGGTCGTATCACAGTGCAAGAAGTGTAAAGAAATAGTTATGGTCGATGAACAGTTTGCTCACTGGGAGTCACATTTCGAAATACCTGATGAGTGGGCAGCGAGCAGTACCTATGAGGAACCGTCGTCGCCAACTGAGGATAATGGTATGGAAGGCTTGTTAGAACCAGAGGCTCTCAAATCCCTTGTAAACGGTATGTATAGTTTTGTAAATTAAGTGGAACGATTAGAGTTTAGGTTTATAACTTATTATATTAGCAGATCCGGCAATGCATTGCTATGGCTAAGGTTCTTGAATAAAATAATATTGCGACCATAAATTGAGATATAAGCTATCGTATCTTTCAAGTTGGATCAAATCAAATTCGCAATCCGTTCAGTAGTTTAGGAGTTTATCCCGGACAAACAACGTGATTCGTAAATTATACATATAAATAAAATTGGAGTGTCTGTTTTAGTAGGTGTAGGTGACAGCAGTTTTTTCTTCTACCGTCACTAGGTTGTTCAACGAAAGTTCGTGACACACAGCACTCACTGTATCCGCACACTTGTTGACTATTGATGCTACTGAACTTTGCTTGAATTTATTTAGTTTGTGTTAAGGCCCGGTTAATATATAATGTATATTAAACACGAAAGTTTAAAAATAACTGTTTCCCGCAGGCTTACAAAAGGGCATGTCGAGCATGTCTGCATCGAAGAGAGTAAAGGCATGTCCACACTGCAATCGACTCTTCAACCGCTACCACGAGTGTAAGAGGCACATCATTGAACACCTCCTGATGGACGCATACGCCAAAATTGCGCCTGACAAAGGACTCAAGTGTCAGATATGCTCGGAGCTGTTCCAGAAGCGAGATTCGTAAGTGACACACTAACATTTTATCGCAACAAGTTATCCGTCATACTCGAACTGCAGTTCCCGAGTATGACGGATGATATTAATTTATATATTTATTATTATTATAAAACTATAACAATTTTTTAGTAACATTTAACACAATTTAGACCGCTTTACATTCGACGGTCGTGAGTTCGATTCCTATTACGTTGCAAACATTTATATTCATGAGTATGATTGTTTGTATCGGTCTGGGTGTTTTTTTATGTATATTATGTATGTATTTTCGAAAAAAAGATATATCTTTGTATCATCAGTTATACCCATAACAAAAGCATTAGCTAGCCTACCTTGGGTCTAGATGGCGCTCTTTGAATTGTCCTGAGATTATTATTATTATGAATAAATAAATAGAAATAAAAAATATTTATTTATTTACTCTTTATAGAGAACATCTCTTGGTTTTAAAGAGCGAATGTTTAATGATTCGCTTTAAAAACCGTTAAGGAGAACCGTAACCGTAACCGAAACTATCGGATATAAAAAAATAAAAAATATATATAACGAAATATCGAAATAAAAATTCTGGACAATATCGGATAGGGGCGGAGCCTAATTGAGACACGTTATGTAATCATTTTATTATCTATTTATATTGTACTTTTGAAATTCCTTAAAATATATAATATGTAACAGTAGTAGTATAATCCGTTAGTTTCGGATAATTTCATCCGAAACTAACGGATATTCCGAAATAATTTCATATCCGCATCCGTATCCGGTATAATAATCATTGCTATATCCGAAACCTATCCGTATCCGAAATATCATATCCATAACATCCCTGGTCGAAATACAAAACTGTCTATGACAATAAACTACTTATTTATAAGTCCATTCTAAAACTTGTATGGCTTACAACTTTGGGGAACTGCGTCAGTCAAATATCAACATCATCAAAGGGCCCAAAATATTATACTGAGAACAGTATCGGGTGTCCCTTGGTACATCACCATCAATGAAATTCACAAGGAACTTGGCATACTATCATTAAATAAGGAGATCCTAAATTGCAAAGAAAAATATAAAAAGCTATTTTGTTACCACCCAAATCAACTGGCTGCTTAATTACTACAAATATTTACCCCAAGCGACTAGAAAGAAGCGACATTGTGTAATGTTTGCATTATGCTTAAGGAGTAGATCCTCCCGCTGGGGTGGACATTCCATTCTTAGTTCCCACACCCAAATTTTAATTATTGTTTTAATTACTATCATTAATATTTTACATAGTGCCCTCTCTCTCTCCCCCTTTGATATATATATTTTTTGGTGCCACTGAAAACCAGCTGTATGTTCACCTAGGACATACATTAAAGCTGAGTGGAGCCATTTCAGTGCATTTTTGGATGTAAAAAATGATTATTTTATGTTTATTTTTAATTATCTACATGGTAAATTAAGTTTAATTATATGTACATTTTATTTGCTCTTTTTTTTTCGTTTGTTGTTTATATTGTATTTTTTACATTGCACTGAATAAAATATTTTTCTTTCTTTCAAAAAATCTGCACATAGTTCTGGGACTGATTGCAGATAGGAAGAGAAAAAAAATTACTCTTAATTTCATAAATAACTTAAACAAAACAAGCTATTCCTTACATAAAGGCGGTCTTATCACATAAGCAATATACAAATTAATATTACAGGTACAAGCAACACATGCGTGATCACGCATCTTTGCCTGTGTATTTGTGTGAATTATGCAACAAGGCGTTCAGTGACTCGAGCAATTTTACTAAACACAAGAAGGTCCACAATCTGTCCATCTACCAGTGTCATATTTGCGATAAGAAGTTCCAAATGAAGGCGTCCCTAGTAAAACATATAGGCATGGTGAGTATTATAATTAAAATTCTCGATTTTTTTTTAACGCAGGAGACAAACGAACGTACGGCTCACCCGATGGTAAGTGATTACCGCCGCCCATGAGAACAGCAACACAACGGGAATTGCAAGTACGTTGTCGGCCTTATAAAAAGGAATAAGCTCTTTATTTGAAGGTTTCAATATCGTATCGGTTGGGAAATACCATTGCTGGAAGGTGATTTCACAATGTGGTTGTGCGAGGCAAAAAGGTTTTAAAAAATCGCTCTGTTGAGGACCGCCATTTATCCAGATGATCAGGATTTTATTTCAGTTTCTGGCGGGTGGTACGGTGGTGAAACTCAGCAGCTGGTATTACTCCGAACAATTCCTATTATTTATGTACGTAGTTTCTATCTATTTATATATTGTATAATGTTTTGTAATTGTATAATTTTTTTAAGAGCTCGAAGTGTAATATGTAAACATTCACGTATATATGTATGTAAGTATGTATTTAATTATATGAGCCAACAGAATATCAGCGCTGCAGACTTATCTGTAGCTTCATGCTGAGTTGGTTGCCTCTTCATCATTGCGACACATGTATTTTTATTTTATTTTGTAATATTATATTGAATCTATTTATAAACTTTATGTATATATATCTCATGTATGCTATGTATTTGTAATTGTTGAATAAAGAACTTATCTATCTATCTATCCTCAGAACACTCCCCGTGATATATGCGGTATCTTCTTTTTTATGTTGAAAAAAAAATGTAGATTTGTTTCAAAACCAATTTGATAACAATAATACAGTATTGATATAACCTGTGTTACGTAAGAAATAGAAATAGAAATAATCTTTATTCAAATAAACTTCATATAAGCACTTTTGAGTAGTCAAGTTTTTTTATTCCACCGTTCATTCGGATTGCAGAGTCATTACAAGAAGAATAAGCAAGAAACTTGTGTGTTGCTCTTTTAAATAAATATTGTTTTAATTATATTTACATTAACAAGGATTAGGGATGCGACAATAAGGGGCTGTTCAAGTATTACGTAAGCAGATTTATCACAATTATTTACGCCCCATCCCCCTTGTCAGCAAAAGTAAGCAAAGCTCTTACCCCCTCCACCCATGCTTACGTAAACATTTCTTAATTAATGTATTGTTTTTTTAGCAAAGACAATGTGAGGGTTGCCATTCGTGTAAAAAAGTAAATTACGACCGATGACGTAATCATCATACAGACTCCCCCACCCCCATGTCATCCAAAATAAGCAAAGAAAATACCCCCCGCCCCCCTATAGTGCTTACGTAATACTTGAACGGCCCCTAAGCATAGAAACCGCTACGCACTTAATCTCTTTCCCTCCGATCGATCACCCGTCCAATTCAAACGGGGATCGATATTACGACGGCCTGAGCCGAGTTTCAAACCCCTAGCGGTGCCCTCAGATTATAGTCGTATCCGTCAGACAGGAGTTGGCCTTCAGCCGCTCCATAAGTCCTTCCGCGGGTTTGGAGTGCCATCTGCACTCGCCCCCTAACGTCCGGTGAAGCTGTAAAGGCCAGCTGCGGCCAACATCATTAGAGTAGTCCGAAAAACAAAAAAACTTAATCTCTGTTAGGAGGTGTGACTTCTTAGGTTTTAGCAATATTATTTATTAACTGACTTGAAGTGCTGTGTATTCCACATTTTTAATATTGTATATTTTTTTATAACAGCTGATTTGACTGACGCAACTTCTTTTGCATCACTCTTACTTGACATTTATTAATATTCTTCAGCCCAGTTTATATAATATTTTAAATTATACCCTATGTGTTATTCTACGTATTACTGTAAAGTTTCATCAAAATGCGTTTAGTAGTTTTTGCGTGAAAGAGTAACAAACATACATCCGTACTCGTAAACTTTCGCGTTTATATTTGTGTCTGCCCCGGTGTTTTCTTGTATATGTTTTTACAAAAAAATATATATCTATATATTTGTATCAGTAATCTAGTACCCATAACAGAAGCTTTAGCTATCTTAACTTGAGTCTAGATGGCGCTGTGTGAATTGTCCTGAGATTATTATTATTAATTATGTTTAATATTTCTCCTTACAGGTACACACAAATGCAGATCCATTTATTTGCGCAGATTGTTCCCAAAACTTCTACACCATGTCCAGTCTAAAAAAACACATCCGTCAAAAACACGATAAAAACAGCCTCAAGTTCAAATGCATGACCTGTAACAAGAAATTCAAGTCGCTGAAAAACAAATGGGATCATATGTGGGACAAACATAAGCAAAGATCACAAGCGGCCGACTGCCCGATCTGTGATGCTGCATTCCGGAAATACTCCGACGTGAAGAGGCATATTACAGAAACCCATAGACATCACCCTGTATATCTTAAATCATTGAATACGCTAACGAGAAATCCGGTTCTGTCCATAGAGAAAATAAAATACATGAAGGAAAATAAAGAAACCCTGTTTCCTAAGTAGTTTTGTACCTTGAAGTTCATTATATCCGGATTTCACTATATTTAACTAAAGTTAGTAATTCGTTTTTTGCGGAAAGTTTTACAACAAATTACCAGTCTATTTTAAAATCTGTAAACGTGCTTATGAAATTGAAGAATTTATAAATTATGATAATAGTTTTGTAGAAACAACTTAAAATTCATAGCGCAGATATTATCTGCACTAGGAAGGAGTGCGTAGCGGTTTCTATGTTTATTATCGCATGCCTCATGCTTGTTATTGTGTATTTATCAGGATCATATGGATAATTAACAGGATATGTGAGAGATATTTAAGCAAAGATTACAAACGGCAGACTGCCCGATCTGTGATGCTGAAATACTCTACGTGAAGAGCCATATGACAGTAATCTATAGACATCACCCTGTATATCTTAAATCATTGAATATGCTAACGAGAATGCCATAGTTACCTACATACAAAAAAACATACTCATGTTTGTATCGTGCAAGGAATTGAACCCGTTACTATTTAAAGTAAGCCTGTGTTAAACCACTAGACCATCGAGACCGTCGTATACAATAAAGACAGTCTCCTCTAACCGATCTTGACATAAGAGGACTTTTTTTTTAAAAAAAAATTATGTGCTCATATATTGGATTTCCTTTCCATACAGCGGTTGCGCTATCAGTGTATGCTCGCTAGTATTAGGAGTGAAACTCAAATTAATAATTTTGTACATTTTTACTAGACCGACGGCATGCAGCGCAATTATACTTAGTTAGTATAAAAGTATTACCAACCACCGACCAGTCATTGAAAGTTGGTTTATGTCTGATTAAATTTTTTTAATTCGCTAATTATATATTGTATATGTGCTATAAACGTATTTGTTGTGCTTTCCTTACTTGTAATTTCTTCTATTCTAACATAAAAGAACTAAAAATCCCCATCACAGCACAGGTAGAAAATAAAATACATGAAAGAAAATAAAGAAACCTTGCTCACCAAGTAGTTTTGCTAACAGTCAGTAAGTAATTATAAAAAAACGGTGTTCTAGCGGTTTAGCACGTTTTACGTTCGGTGGTCGCAAGTTCGATGCCTCACACGATGCGAACATTTTCCTGATGATGATAGCTGGTGGACTGGTGTTTTCTATGTATATATATCTTTTACAAATAAATAATCAAGTATTTCTATTAGTTGTCTAGTAATTATAATAAAAGTTCTGCTAACTTGAGACTGGATGTCTATGTGAATTGTCTAAGGTTATTATTATTATTGTGCTATATCATGTAATTTAACATATCTTACATAACAAGCTTGCTTAGCGGTATGGATAGGTTTTTGTTTATATAAATATGGGTGCTGGTATACAGTCGATCAGTAATTCCTGATTGTTATTAAAATACTTCGATTGCCCGTTTTGTTGCAGCGTCCAATTTCTATATAGAAATGCGGCGAACCAGACAACCTGGCGACTAACCGGCTGTATATAAGCAGCCTAAGAGGCAATCTTCTGTGTTGTGTTGACCCAGTTATAATAGTTATATACGCTTACAGTCTAATTATGTAATGTTAAAACCCAATGTAAAATAAATTAAGTATGATTATTGTATTTCAATTGTGTATAAAGGAATGGACTTTTAAAATATATACACTTTTAATGTAAAATGGTTTTTTAATGGATGTTTAAGGAATGTAGTACGGTCTACAATATTTTTTTTTTGCTACGTTCCTGGCAAACAAGCTTTCGGCCTATCTGATTGTAAACTGTTACCGTTGTCTATGGACGCCTGAAACAGGGGTGTCTTGCGCGTTGTGACCTGTAAGAAACCTTAATATACCCTTCTTGAAAAAACCCATGCTATAATCTCTCGAGAAGATCTCGGTAGTTCAGTCCACAATCTAAGTGTATGCGGAAGGAAGCTCCACGAAGTTATCTGCAGCAACACCTCAGTCGAGCAAGTTGCTTTGTAAGAAGTTTCAGTCGAAGGTTGAGAAGACGATACTAATATTATAAAGAGGTAAAGCTTGTATGTTTGTTTGTTCAGTGTAATACCCGATCCTACTGATCCGATTTTAAAAAATCGTTCACTTTTAATAAGATACATACATCGCAGAGTGCTATAGGCTATATAACATCACGATACGATCAATAGAAGCGAGTAGCGATGAAAAATTTGGCAAAATATATTCATCAGTAAAACGTTAGAACAAAAATAGTTTTAATAAGATTAGGCTGTATAAATTTGGTACCTTTGCATTTTTCAATGTTGAATGGAAATAAAAATATGTTGGGCAAGAAGCGGTTGCATTGTGGCGCGAAATACTTATTATATAAACATTTTAAAATTTAGAATTATTTAAAATCGAGTATATTGTACCTGTGAAATTAAAATTTACTACAAACAATTTGATCTGAAAATAAAGATGTATTGTTTTATTAAACATAATGAATGTGTGATTTAAAAATGAATTGTGACGAATACGGTATGGTAACATATTTCATCGTAAGCCATTGTATTATTTGTTAATCTGAACTTTTTGTTACATAATTCTTGAATAAGATAACCTTACTTCACTCTTCATGTGTAATTTAATATAACTTAACGATAAGTAAATTATTCTATTTCATTTTGGTATCATAATAACAAGAAAGTGAAACAAACTGTTGTAGCGCGGTGGTTATCCACATCACTGTAGCTGTATAATGTGATAAGCTGGCGCTACATAATATGTTATTTATTGTAGTATGTAGGTATACTCACTAGAGTATACCGGTAAAATGATTGTACTATTTATTGTACATTATTAAGTTTATTGGTAGTGTGCTACATGGTTTATTAATAACGCGTACAGTCGACGCAGAGTCGGGACGTAGACTAATTTTACACTTCAATGTATGTAGTGGAGACGTAAACTAATGGAAGGGTCTCAAGTGTCGACAGAAATATTACAAGTGTAAGCACACTGTAAATACGAAAACTAACTGTACTGTGTAACTGCAATATTCGAAAAACTTGTAATGAAACTTATATTCCAACATTATTAGTATGTAATATTATGTTATCTGTGTTATTAGTAACCATAGTCTCACTGATATTATAAACGCGAAAATTTGTGAGTGTCGATGGAAAGATGTTTGTTATTCTTTCTCGCAAAAACTACTGAAAGGATTTTGATGAAACTTTACAGCAATATAGCTTATACTTACATCAGAATAACACGTAGGCTATAAATTTCATGCGCGTGAAACCGCGGGCACAGCTCGTCGTAAATATTGGATGAGAACTAGAGGAAATTTAGGTATAGTTAAATTACAGAGAGAGAGAGAGACGACCTCGGTGGTCTAGCGGTTTAGCACACCGCATTACGACCGATGGTAGCGGGTTCGATTCCTCGCACGGCACAAACATTTGTATTCATGAGTATGATTGTTTGTATCGGTCTGGGTATTTTCTATATATAATAGGTATGTATTTACAAAAAAAAATCGATGTATTTAGCTAACTTAACTTGGGTCGAGATGGCGCTGTGTGAACTGTCCTGTGATTATTATTATTTTAAAAAATACGGCATGTGATTACATCGATATTTTATATAAGTCTATGTAAATATCCTCTACTAGGTTGTCTATAATAAATTGCTTATTGGGGATATGACCACCTTTTAAAATCCTTTTTTTAATAAGCATTTTTATTACTTGTTTGATGCCTGGATGCTATAAAGAGTTGGTATTATTATTATTACTATAGTACACGCTTTATCTAAAAACAGATGAAGTCGCGGCTAATAATCATCATCATCATTATAATCATTATCATTATTACATAGTATAAAATAAAGTCGCTGTCGCTGTCTGTCCCTATGTATGCTTAAATCTGCAAAACTACGCAACGGATTTTGAAGCGGTTTTTTTAATTGATAGAGTGATTCAATAGGAAGGTTTGTATATATAATACATGTACACCCGTGCAAAGCCGGGGCGAGTAGCTAGTTATGTATAAAACAAATTCATTTCAGTACGTCATATTTCCCAAAAATACGCTGTTGCTGTTGCAATAGCTGTTATAAATACAAAACCTGAAAACAAAACTACGGAGCAGCATATAGAGGATATAAAATTAAATATTAATAATGAAACAATGCTAACAGACGATCTAGATATCACAGTATGTAGTGAAGACTTTAATTTTAATGATAACAACGAAACAGAAATGATTAATGAAAGCAACGATAAAAACAACAATGATCGTGTTAAAGTTGACGATTGTGAGTTAAGTCAAGACAGTGTTACTGTACTTAAAGATTTTGATGACTATATCGAAAATAATGGAAATAATGATAAGTCAAGCAATGAATTATGTGAGGTTCTACATGTTTTAGAAGATATAGATAATACAAGTCATATAGTGGTAATTTTTCTTATTTCTATTTATTTTTTCTTATGTAATAGGAATAGTAATGACCCACTTGATGGTAAGTGGCAACTGCCTTCTATATTCGTGATATTACTTCGTCATGCCACGCTTGTGGTATTCATGCGTTGCATTTGCAGTTCCCGAGGTCTGACACACGTCATTTTACGGCTTCGGTGGTCGAGTGGTGTAGAGCATTGATTTATTTCAGATGGTCGTGCATTCGATTCGGCCATCGGAAGTAAAGCAGTGTGCTAAACCGCTAAATCACCGAGACTATCCATTTAATTTTGAAGGTATTGCTATAATGAAATTAATAATTACCTTAATTTTATATTTAAGCAAAGCAAATATAATTATTACAATGGAATTCTAACACAACCAGAGATCTACGAGAGTTCTCAAATCAGCCAATATACCGATATAGATGAAACATTTTGTGAAAGTATAGCTTGCACTCAGGAACGGTATGAACAACATATATACAATAATGTACCTGTTAATGAAGAAAAGCAAATAAACAAACCACTAAATGTAAACACACAAAATCGAAAAGACATTATACAAGAAAACAGATGTAAAGCTTTGGATTCGCAATGTACAGGAATATACACACTGCATGGCTTCACAGAAAATCTAGACTCAAATTGTAGATGTAAAAATATCGTTAAAGATACAAAAGTGGATGAAAGCAATAATTTTGACTCGCAAGCTACAGAAATCTATACAGTTCATGGATTTACACAAAATAAACAATCTATTGATGAATCTGATAAGTTAGCACATACATCTAATAAAAGAAATAATATAACTTTAGAGACTCAAGCAACAAATATGTATACACTAAATGAATTGAATATTCCTACACATTTGAATTTAAAAGCAAATCCTAGATTTATTAATAAGGATAATATAACAACTGATTTAGAAGCAACCGAGTTATACACAG